GCATTTTTTTTTTTTTTTTTTTCAGAAACAAAATAGATATATTAATAAATATATAAACAAAAAAATAATATTTTGGAATTGAGTTTTAATATAAAAATTATAACAACTAGCGACATCTAGTTCCAAAAACATACCAATACTGCAACAAGATATCTTGGGTCCAACAGTCGAGGTCAAAGGTCACAACCCCGAGAATTGTCGAGAATAACACAGGACAGGTTAAATGGGAGAACTATCCAAAAACAAAATTAAAATAAATAATTACCAGAAAACTAGGTTATATCTTACCTGGAAAATGAAAAAAATCAATTTAATCTCTTATTCACAAATTGAATAGTTTCCCAAATATCCAAAGCTAACCACTGGTGAAATAATGAGCAAACCATGGCCCCAAGTGCAATTAACATAAAATTACTAACAGTTTTCACTATCAACCTAAAAAGGAAAAAGACCACATTATCATAGAGCCCAACATCATGTGATAAACAATTTAGTCTTTTTAATAAAAATAAATATCTTGAAAAACGAATCAGTATCAGCAATTACTTTTCTAAAATTATTAAACAAAAAACAAGTAACACCAAAACCTTCTCGTGTAATTTTGACAAAAAGATACAAACTGTAATCATGTGATATGCATCCAATGGTGAATCATCCATACTACACTTGCAAATGTCCCTTCTAGAAAATGAAAAATAATCAATTTAGTCTCTTATTCACAAATCGGATAGTCTGCTATTTAATATTAAAGCATCTTGGTTAGACTTCTGTTGATTTATTTGTTGATTGTTATTCATAATTGCATATTTCAGTTAGAAACAAAATAAATCTGGTTGTTTTCTTTCTATTCCTATTAATAAATTGTAATTTTCAATCATTAAAAATTATTAATAATTGCTTTACTTTTAAAATTGTTATCATCACTTAAGAATATGTTTTAATATCTTATTATAATTAAAAGATTATGATACAAATGATATGAGTAATGAATTAGTATTTATGTAATTTGGATTTTAGTTATATAAAAAAAATTTGATTATTTCAGCCAAGACGTATCAGTGCTGTCTCAGTTTCTGAAAGAATTGCTGAGGAAAGATGTGAAATGTTAGGAAATAGTACAGGTTACAGTGTACGATTTGAATCTTGTTTGCCTCGTCCTTATGGCAGCATATTATTTTGTACTGTTGGTAAGTATTAATTATATATATTTTATATCTATTATTTATTGTGTTTATTTAATATATTGACTATAGCAGTTCAGGTAATCTATGTATTTCCAGATCTAAAAAGGAGATTTTTGTACAGGGAGGGAGAAAAGGAGATTCTTTCACAGTAAAACTGATAGATGGGTATATAGATGCTATTATATGAATAAAGCTATCTAATTTGTCTGCAGAGCCATCATATCTACAAGCAATATGTAGATATTTTACTCCGTGGACAAATTAGACTGCTTTATTCATATAATAGTATCTATATATCCATCTATTAGTTTTACTCTGGAAGAAGAAATATTGAATATACTGTTATTATAAATACTTATCTAATTTGTAAAGTTAGTTCAGAAATTTAAAATTAGTTTATTATTTAAAATATTATTATCAGGCACTGTTGTAAAGTAAGGTCCAGTTTTGAAATAAGGAAAGAAATATTAAAGCTAAAAATAATTTATTATAATCAAAAGAAAAGAAAGCATACTTTTTTACTTATTCACTATTGACTTCCACACATTTTTGATATTGTGTCATCCTTGTTCCATTGTTAAAGAGGTCTGTTGCCAATGTCTTGACTCAGTCAGTAATACTGTTTTTCAGTTTCTCATCATTTTCAAATTGCTTCAAAAAAGGTTTTTTTTTAAATGTAAAAGCAGGTTATAAATACTATGTGAGATAATTGCTCTAAGGTGGGTGGTCAAAAATTTCCCAGCAAAATTGAACAACAATTGAACAGTTCAAGAAAGTTCAAATGTTGTTGACTCATGTGAGGGTGATTATTATTGCAATAATTTCAATGGAAATTTTTGACTCCTTACCTTATAGTCCCAATCTCATGCCAAGTGACTATCTCTTGCTTTTGCATTTAAAGAAAGGGGTTTCATTAAAGCAATTTGAAAATGATGAACTGAAAAACAGCATTACTGAATGGTTCAAGACATTACCAACAGATTTCTTTGAGAATAGAATAAAGAAACTGATGATACAATGTTAGAAATATGTGGAAAAATAAAGGAAATGTGTACCTTTTGGCTGTAATAAAGTATTTTTCCTTCATTTTTTTTTCCAAAATGGACCTTACTTTAAAAATGTGTCTCATAAATAATGTATGTAGATGAATATGTTGATTGGCTACAAACATTTTTGTATCAAAATTAAATTTTGTGAATTTAATTCATATCAATAAAAAAGAATGTTCATATGTGTTCAAAACCCCTCATCAGCTTTCCTTCTGGTTTGTGCACTTTTGAAATTTGCCAGATATACACAACTGTCAGCATGGAATGTTCCATGGACAAACTGGATGATTTAAGCAGAAACTATAATCACTTGCAATCTCAAGAACAGTCAATTGAATAATCTATTGCTTTTAGCACTTGATGATGATTTTATTTAAAGTATGTATTAATTATACATATATATACATGAGGTCTTATACCAGTGAACAGGCTAGATTACAAAAACTTTAATGATAATTTTTTACAATCAGGTATGGTTCAGATATGGAAAGCATAGGAGCAGGAGGCCTTGATTAACTATATACAAACTTCCTGTAAAGACTGGAAATCACGCAATTTCAATTTAAAAAATTTTCCCCAGAATGGTATAGATAGATTTTCCCCAGAATATGATAAATAGATAGATGATCAGTATGACTCTGTTGTTATCAAGAGAAATAGGGTATACAGGGGCAAGACAGTAATAATTTGAGGTCCAGAGCATATATTTTAAATTAAATAAATTAAAAATTGCAGCACAGCATTGTGATGATGTCACAATAATTTTTGTTTGTCCTCTGGATATATTAGACTGCATGTCTGGTAATATTTATACCCACTGGACATTGATCCACATAATAAAGCCAGATTAATATTTTTTCCCCCTAGCTTATTCTGCCCAGTGGGCACTAAGAGGGCCTTTTTAAAAATCCATTATGGATTCAGCCACGTCCACAATGAGGGTGGCTGATTGGTGAGAGACGGGACTTGACATATCCAGGAAAAATCTCATCCAAAAAATTCTTGGGGTTTAACTGCCTGCATTTAATCTTGGGTCTTCTAGAGCAGCTATCACCAACCTTTCTGATCTTATGGACCACTAAACTCACAAATTTGAATCCTGTGGACAACTATCATAAATTTTTTAAATGATACAAACATCTACAGAATAATGATCATAAAAGTTCCATTTTACTTTATTAATATGACATTCAATTGTTTAACTGTAACAAATTAGTGTGAAGTTTGTTGTTGCTTGTTTGAAATAAGTTTATGATTCTTGGTTCTTTTCTACAAAGGACGACAATTGCCTCGCAACATTATTTATTGTTGATTATTTATTGATAATAGTCATTTTGTGTTGGTTTTAGATTCGAATAAGAAACCCCCCCATGAGTGAGAAAAAGAACCAAGCATTTTGCATTTCTTTCATAACACTTTGCATAACCAAGTTGATCAATGTCCAAATTTCTCTACAGACCAGCAAAATTTTCTCACTGACCTTTGGAGGTCCACGGACCACCAGTTGGCAGTTAGGATGCCTTAACTGCCTTAACCATTCAGCTATCTGACATCTAGATTACTGGATGCTGTATTAGGGACTTTAACTGTATTTTATAAAATTCAGAAAGAAATTAATGTCTTGTTTATATTAATGCTATATAAATGGAGCATGTACACTCATGGAAACTTCTCTAAAAATGTGGAAATGTGCCTAAAAGATTTTGAACTGATTTCAATTAATTAATTAATAGAATTGACTTGCCTCATATATTAAAAACCGTGGTCCTGATCCTAATTTTTTGGGATTTAAGAAATCTGGTTGATTAAATTAATTTGGGTGAGAGGTATGTGGTTAAGCCACCATCTTGTAATAATTTTATTATTAACTAGCAGATGAGCCCAGCATTGCTTGGGAATAAAGTATTGATAGCAAAGATTAAGATTATTAGATTATAGCCGATCTTGCCCGTTTTATTAAGTGCAAGAATGTCCTCCCTCTTCTAAGTCTAATTAGAAAATTTTTAGATATCTGCTTACCACACCAGGATAACGATAATTAAGACTCATTGCAACCATTAACCAGTGCATAGTACCATTAAATGATGAATAAAGGTTGTTGTTTGTTAAGTTATGGCAATGCAACACTTGGGCAATCTGCCTAGGGGGATGCCTTCTGGGAGGTCTTTTTTAAGGGAAACTGGCCCCTATTTAGGTGTTACAGACGTGGAGAAAACCCGGAAAACTCCACATGGCCAGCCTGTCCGAGCGAGGCACAAACCCATTATCGAACTATCAGTGTTCAGGATACTAAGACCGCTTGGCCACTGGTGGGTTCATGTGATGAATAAACGTTTTTGTAACTCTTTCTGGGTGCTTCTTCAGCTTTACTAAATTCGAAAAATAAGCTGGATCTTCCAGAATCATTCATAAATATAAATTCAAACATAAAATCGAACATCAAGATGAAGACTTTGAATAAAGCAAACTTATGCAAATGCACTCTTCATGTCAACTTTATATATGAAATGCACGAATACACGTGCGCCACCTATCGTAGGATAAATGTACTATGCCAGAAACCTTCGCGGGAGTGTATTATACAACTTCCCAAATTTTCCTGGCAATCAGATAAATGGTGTAGTAATGCATGAAGGACAGACAGACATTCATTTTTATATATATAGATAAATCTAGTTAAAATTACATTGTTTTATTTGTACAATACCTCTATCCAGATTTGATTTGGATTTCAAATAACATGGAAAGTTTGGCTTAGTGATTATATAGTTTAGGGTTTGATTAAGTTGTGTTTGTATTAAAAAATTATTTTTTATATTAAAAACTTGTTTTTAAATGCAACTTAATTTTTTTATTTTAATTTTTGTTTAAAAAATTATTTATAATTTGTAATTTTCTGTATAACTATCCAGTTTAAATAGTTAATAGATTAAATTTTGTTTTAAATTTTTAAAATTTTACTTATTACTAATTATTTATTTTTGATTGATAGGTGTCTTATTAAGGAAATTGGAAGCTGGTTTACGAGGTGTATCGCATGTAATTGTAGATGAAATTCATGAGCGAGATGTTAATGTATGTGGAATATTTATTAAAAATAAGCGATATTTTTTATTCTAAATTTTATTTATGATTAAATTCTGATTAATAGGTAATTCAATTTATTGTTTTGAATAAATTAAAATCTAAAGCAATTAAATAAAATATTTATTCAAATAGATCTGAAATTATTCAAACAATTCTTATAAGATGTAATAATATTTCTAATATACTTTTATATTACAAATATTATTATGTCTTACCTGAGATTTGGTAAATTAGATTATTATACATAGGATATTAATAAGTTATTATTTTATGATCAGCTTTTTAAACTCAGTGTGATTATTTTTTATTTTTAAATATAAAAGACATCTAATTATGGATACATCATTTATAGCTGCAAATTTTACATTAATAAATAATGTAACTTAAAATGTTTTTAAATATCCAGAGTTTCAGATGGTATTAAAACAAGAATACTTTTTAAGCTTGTTATTCTATTCATTATGATGTGTGATATATAATTATTAATCACTCATTCTAAGAAATTTTGAAGTTCTAAGATTAAGTTGTTTATTTCCTTAGTCTGATTTTATTATGGTGGTTCTTCGAGATATGGTTCGCACATTCCCTGAGTTAAGAGTAATTTTAATGTCAGCTACTATTGACACATCTCTTTTTCAAGAATACTTCTATAATTGTCCAATTATAGAAGTAACAGGCAGATCATATCCTGTACAAGGTAAAATATTTATCTATATTTATTATTTAATTTATTATAAAAAATTACAGATTAAGTTTTTTTTTATAGAATTTTATTTAGAAGACTGTATACAAATGCTGAAGTTTATGCCACCACCAAGTGGTAAAAAACGTAAAGATGATGATTTACAAGATAGTGAAGAGCCTGATGTATGTTTTTCTATCATTAATTTTTATATAAGTATTTATAGTATTAATATATACGGTAGAGCGTCGTTTATCCGAAATGTCAGTTATCCGAAAGAATTCCAGNGTTTTTGATACTAGATTAACTTCTAAAGTATAATTTTTTTTGTTTTTATATTTTTCAATATACTTATTTTATTTGTACAAAATAAAAAAAAAATAATTTTTAACAATACAATAGCCACGATTATTATTTTAAAAAGTTTTCATTAGGCTTAACATTGACGAAAATTCAATGTGAAGTGACATGCAACGGAGAAAAATTTCAACATGGGATAGTTTAATATATTTTTTCGTACATAATCGGTTATCCGAAAAATAAGTTATCCAAACAACCCCAGTCCCCAATTGATTTGGATAAACAACACTCTACTGTAATACCAAATGTTTTTTTTTTTTAAAAACTTAAAGGTGTTTTTGACTTTTTTCAATAACTTATCATACAAGGAACTTTCATTGATATAGGCTTTATTAATGGAAATGTGTTTTGGGTCTTAATGACCTCTCTTCGGTCCTTATTTTTATATAGATACTTGCTGATTATTAAATACAAATTGAAATTTAAAAATTTGGCAGTTGAATGGATATGTTATAAAATTTGCTTTAAAAGGTTGCTGTAGGTAGGTAAAATTACATGTTGGATAAGATTTAAAACAAATTTTTTAAAAAAATTAAACAAGTTTTTTAATAAAAGTAATAAACAGTAGAAAAGATTAGGTTTAAAAACTTTTCTTCAAAAAAGTTGAAATTAAAAGCTCTTAAAATCATTATTAAATTGTACAAATTACACTGTGTGAGATCAATAGTGTAATTTGTACAATTTTATAGGTTTTTTAAAAAAAAATTTCAAAGAAACCAGTAATAGGATAATCAATTAAAATACCAAATATTTTTAAAACATGCTGAATACGTATCAAGTACAGGGCGGGCTTAATTAATTGTTGTTAATAGAATTTCAATTAAAAATAAATAAATGTTGAAAAATATGATGCAGATATTACTCACTATTAAGGTGCTTCATTTTACAGTGCTTTACTAATATGTTGCATTTCAGTTATATTCATGTTTATTATTTTTGTATTTACCTTGCTTTTAACAGATTTTCATGGCTATTTATTTATTATTTTTACTTATTCAAATTTTTAAGCCTAGCACTATTTGAACTTAATAAATTGTAGTATAAGTACAATTTTTGACTTTCGTAGGCAGAAATGTAACAAAAAAAGGGCTGTGTTTTACATTAAGACTATATTTATGGCAGTGGCCTGGAATCTAACCTGCCATACCAGTGGGGTATGCCTGTATACATGAATAATAAGATAAAATGAAAAATCAGTATAAAATATATATTTATATTATGAAATAATTGGTAATTTATATGGTATATTATTGCATTTAGGATAATGATTAATAAACGTTTTATATTAAATTTTTTACTTGTTAAAATTTGATTACTGAATAATATAAGGGGTGTTCAAATGAAAGTGATTCGAGGTGTGTATCCATGAGATGCGTAGGGACAGAAATGAGACATATACATAGATAGAAAAAACATTATTTAATGAGTGAAATGCATACAAAGTTTGTTAAAAGAAATCACCCATGGTGTTTAGGCAGGTGACCCATTGCTTAGGAAGGTTATGAATTCCATTTGTGAAGAAGGATGTTGTTTGATCATGGAACCAGTTCAGAACTGCAGCCTTTACGTCATCGTCTGAGTGAAATTGTTGACCCATTAGACTTTTCTTCAGCGGTCCAAAGATGTGATAGTTGCATGGTGACGGATCTGGACTGTAAGCTGGATGTTCCAGGACTTCCCACTTTTTACAGGCCAGTGTCTTGACACTCACCTTGGCAACATGTGGCCTTGCATTGTCATGCAGAATGATGACATCTGACAATGGCATATGAGGACGTTTGTTTTTGATAGCCTTATGCAGCTTATCAAGTGTTTGGGTGTACCGTTGGGCATTGACGGAGATGTTTGGCTCCTTAAACTCCAGTAATAGGGGTCCCTGAATGTCGAAAAATGCCATCAACATCACCTTTCCAGCTGACTGCTGAGTTTTGAAATTTTGGGCCTAGGTGAGCCGGGATGTTTCCATTGCATGCTGATGGCCTTCCCTTCTGTTTGGAAGTGGTGACAGCAGGTTTCATTCCCTGCCACTATATGCTGCAGAAAGTCGTCACCGTCATCATCCCTGTAGCACAACAAATGCTGTAAAGTCAGGCCCATTTTCTATTTTTTGTGGTGTTCAAACAGCATGCGGGGTACCCATTGGCAACAAACTTTTCAATACTTCAGAATGTTGGTGACAATATTGTGAACAGTACCGATGAAAACATTTAACTCATTTGCGGCGTCACAAATGTTTCGACGTTGATTTCCCTTGATTGCAGTGTCAATGTCCGTAATCAACTTCTCTGTCACAACTTTGTGCGCCTGACCGGGCCGCAGCAAATCCCTTGTCTCGTGTCAACCGTTGCTAAACATTCTCGCCCACCTTGTTACCATGGGCTTTGACACACACATGTCACCATACACAGCCAGCATTCTGCGATGAATATCCACTGGTTTACACCCTTCCAGTGTTAAAAACTTAATTACAGCTTGCTTATCCGTTTTGGACGCAGTTGCATCCACACCAGCCATTTTGAAATGAATGCCACATTCTTATGAATGAAGTTACCACAAATCTGGTTGCGCACACACGTGTGGTACATAAACCTTTAGTATCGTGTTTGTTTCACGAAAATATATTGAAAACTGTTCACATGCGACGCTTCAAATCACTTTCATTTGAACACACCTCGTAATTAAAAACAGATATGTAATAACATAGTAAATATATATCATTTTTAAATAACATCATTAATAAATATATTTTTAAATTATAATAGGAAAATTTAAATAAAGTTATTGGAGCAGATTATTCAGATAGCACAAAAAGTGCAATGGCCAAAATGAGTGAAAAAGAATTATCATTTGAATTAATAGAGGTAAGTGTTAGTTAAAAACATTGTATTTATGGATTAGATTTAAATTTGTAAGAAGATTCTGTTAATTGATTTAGAGTATGATGAAATATTTATAAATTTGAGAATTCTGATATTTTAATGTTGATTTTAATCAAATAATTGTCTAATATGAATATATATATTTGATCATTTTGATTTAGTTTTCTTATAATTTTTTTAATGCTTTGAAATAATTTTATTGTGTAAAAATTAGAAATTTTCTTCTACAGAATATAAATTTTATTTTAAATAGCAAAAGTTATAATGGCTCATACAGAAATCAAGCTATAATAAGAAATTATTACATATCATTGCTCATTTATAGTAATCTTCATTAATATTTCATAATGAATCTTATCAAGAAATATTAATGCCATTGAAGAAATAACATTGTATAAAATTGGTCTTAAGAAAAAAAAATTGCTACTTTTGGGTTAGTGGTCACCTGTCTATTTTTCCTGCTATTTTTAGAGATATAGCTATTTTATTTTGTGATTTATACATTGCAAAAAATTATTGGAAGAATTAAATAACCAACTAATTAATAAATATACAACAAAGTTTCCAATATTTCACGGGAGGCAAAAACCTGTGGATATCATGTATTATTGCCATAAACACTATGGTCTTTGAGTATTAAGTTTTATAGAGATTATTAGGAAATACATATACTTAATTAGGAATATATATGGAAAAATTACGTATTCCCTTATTCATTTATTATACAGCATATTGATTATGCAAAATGGGAGTTAATTTGCCAATATCAGAAATTACCTGAACGTTTCTTAATGAGATTTTCAGATCATCTTGATTGGAATAAAATCGCCGAATTTCAAACTCTTCCAGATGATTTTATTACCAACTTCATACATAAGTTTGATATAAAAAAGTTTTAAAACACCAACAATGAAAAACAGAGACTTTGCGAATTAAAAGATTATCTAAGCTGGAATTTTGTTTCCCATTACCAAATACATGACCCAGAATTTATTGACGAATTCCAAAATCAGTTTTCCTGGTGTCATATTTTAAAATATCAAAACTTAAATCGAGAATATATTGTCAACAATTGTGAAAATTTATTCATGCACTTACTGGCAGAAATGTGTCATACTTTAGATAAACTGAAGGAAAAAGTGGAAACACTTAAATAAACTGGATTAATGTAATGTAAAAATAAAAAACTTTTTCAAAATATTTTTAGTGTTATATTATTTCAAATTACCACTCACTTCAAGAAAATAATTAATTTAAACATATGTAATTTAATCAACAAATTATCTAATTTTATAATAATAAATTTGATAAAATATTTCAAATTGTCATGATTTTTACTCCGATATTTAAGTTTACTTGAACTTTTACAACAACTTTCTGCACCAAGTTTTCAGTAATGACAGACAGTCGCCCAGTATACTCCTCGTCATGGACATTAGTATCCCTATCTTTAAATGCTCTAACCCATTTTCTTACCATTCTATTGCTCATAATGATTTTTCCATACATCTCACTAATCTGCCAATGAATGTCAGCTGCTTTTACGTCTTTTGCATTAAAAAAAATGAATCACCGCATGTACTTCACAATTGGTGGGATTTTCAATTGTCTGAGACATTTTAAACACACACAAACAAACATAAAACAAACAAATTCTTCTATAATTGTGTCTGTGGCTAGCCAACAGATGTAAGTACTCAGCGCACATTTGCGGGGACCCCAACCATAGCACTACAGCAGCCCTATTTTAAAACGGTACTTACTTAAAAGACACACCTCGTATATATCCAATTGATATATTTTTTTAAAATTTAAATACCAGTCTCCAATTATTGTAGTATTTTAATTTACTTGACAAATTTTTGATCTGAAAAAGTAATTTTGTGATCTGAAAATATTAATTCCATTAAAAAATTATTTATATTCTGAAAAATTAATTTTGTGATTAAAGTGGCCCAAGGTTTCTCTCAAATTTTCTGATATGAAATAATTCCATTCAACAAATTTTTATTATTTGTAATCTTAATTTACTCGACAAATAATTTTGTGATTAGTGTTCCCATTACACTACTACTATTAATTAATTTAAATGTTTAAAAATATTGTTTAATTTCATTTAATTAAAATTATACTTAACTCTAAAAATTTTATATAGTTTTTAACCATTATATATTTTCTTAGAAATAAAAATTTTAATGTTTTTCATACATGCCATAATTGTTTTTCAGAAAGATTATCCATCCTTTCATGTTGTACGAGGATCATACTGAAAGTCACGAGCAACAATTTCTTTATAAATCAGATTAATCTATTTTTGGAAAAATAAATACATCACATTATTTTTCAGACACTATTTTTCCACACAGTCTCTATTTTTTTTATTTTTAAATACATATTTTTCCACTGTTCTGGGAGCTTGAAAATTCCCAGAAAGTTCCAGCCTACAAAAAAACTGACACACTGTTTTCTTGATGTCTTCCACCATTTCATAGTGTTGGCTGTTGGCCTCATGTTCTCCTTCATGGTACCAAGATGATGATAATCAGATGATGTGGAAGAACTTTCCACCCCATTTTCTGAATTTCCTTCATGATGTAATGAGTAGTGTGGGCCTCTCATTGTTATGCTGCAAGATGAGCTTTATTAACATTCTTCTCAGGATGTTCATTATGCAATGCACAATAAAGCTTAAGAAATGTCATTACATACCGAGTGGCATTAATGGTTTGCCCAGGTTCAAGAAATTCCACCAGAAGTACCTCATCTGCATCCCAGAAAATTCAAGTCCATAACTTTTCCAACTGATGGAACTAGAGAGGTTGCGGCTGACGTTTTCAACACAAAAATGTGTACGTCGGATGTTTAGTGCCGTTTTCCTGTAAGCCTAGAAGTTTGGCAATGGTGTTTGGGACATCGAGCATGATTCCACTGACTATCCAAACACCATTGTCAAACTTCTAGGCTTACAGGAAAGCGGTGCTGAACATTTGCTCTCCAAATTAGTTTTAAGCTTTAATCAAACTTTGTAAGAAATAAAATTCAAGCTTTGATGATGGATTTTATTGAGATGTCATCATCAATGTCTTTAGTAAAATAATTAAGAAAAAAAAGAGCACCGAAGAAGTTAGTAATAGAAGTGGCCCAAGATTTTTAATTTAAAAAAAAAAAATTGTTTCTTTATCAATAAACAAAGATGATGCAGAATAAAATTTTCTTTTTTGTATAATGGTTAATAAAAAACAGGATCTTAGAAAAATCTCTCTTCATTTCCTATTTAAAGGTTAACTTCAATTTACATGATTTTGATTCTACACAGAACCAATCTACTGTGTATATCAAGGATTAGACATAGTTTAAGATTGTAAACAGTTTTTTGTTTCATGGATTCTTGAAATATGTTAAGAATATTTGAAATTATTATTCCATAATATTAAAATAAAAAAATATATATATATAATTTTTTACTGTTTAATTTCAGTCTTTATTGTCATATATAAAAAACTTGGATACACCTGGTGCAGTGTTGGTGTTTTTACCTGGATGGAATTTGATATTTGCATTAATGAGACATTTACAACAACATCCAACATTTGGTAATCCATCTTATTTAATTTTGCCATTGCATTCACAAATTCCCCGAGAAGAACAACATAGAGTATTTCAACCAGTTGATCCTGGAGTAACAAAAGTAAGAAATATTAAAGAGTACTCACCTTTATAATTTTAATAAGAGTAATTTTACTTTTTATTTTTGTTTTAATTCTTAATTAATATAATACACAATAGTTGTTTAATTAATTTATGACAATATGTATGAATTGCATTCTGCAAAATTGCTCATTGAGAAATTATTCTTTTTATAAACTGTGATCATATTTTCAGAACTTTTGTTTATATTTCTGGTATTGTAATGCTAAATAAACTTGTGTCCAAAAAGTAAGCATAATCATCATATCAGTATATATTTCAGAAACTACCNACCATTATATATTTTCTTAGAAATAAAAATTTTAATGTTTTTCATACATGCCATAATTGTTTTTCAGAAAGATTATCCATCCTTTCATGTTGTACGAGGATCATACTGAAAGTCACGAGCAACAATTTCTTTATAAATCAGATTAATCTATTTTTGGAAAAATAAATACATCACATTATTTTTCAGACACTATTTTTCCACACAGTCTCTATTTTTTTTATTTTTAAATACATTTTTCCACTGTTCTGGGAGCTTGAAAATTCCCAGAAAGTTCCAGCCTACAAAAAAACTGACACACTGTTTTCTTGATGTCTTCCACCATTTCATAGTGTTGGCTGTTGGCCTCATGTTCTCCTTCATGGTACCAAGATGATGATAATCAGATGATGTGGAAGAACTTTCCACCCCATTTTCTGAATTTCCTTCATGATGTAATGAGTAGTGTGGGCCTCTCATTGTTATGCTGCAAGATGAGCTTTATTAACATTCTTCTCAGGATGTTCATTATGCAATGCACAATAAAGCTTAAGAAATGTCATTACATACCGAGTGGCATTAATGGTTTGCCCAGGTTCAAGAAATTCCACCAGAAGTACCTCATCTGCATCCCAGAAAATTCAAGTCCATAACTTTTCCAACTGATGGAACTAGAGAGGTTGCGGCTGACGTTTTCAACACAAAAATGTGTACGTCGGATGTTTAGTGCCGTTTTCCTGTAAGCCTAGAAGTTTGGCAATGGTGTTTGGGACATCGAGCATGATTCCACTGACTATCCAAACACCATTGTCAAACTTCTAGGCTTACAGGAAAGCGGTGCTGAACATTTGCTCTCCAAATTAGTTTTAAGCTTTAATCAAACTTTGTAAGAAATAAAATTCAAGCTTTGATGATGGATTTTATTGAGATGTCATCATCAATGTCTTTAGTAAAATAATTAAGAAAAAAAAGAGCACCGAAGAAGTTAGTAATAGAAGTGGCCCAAGNTGTGGAAGAACTTTCCACCCCATTTTCTGAATTTCCTTCATGATGTAATGAGTAGTGTGGGCCTCTCATTGTTATGCTGCAAGATGAGCTTTATTTTGCATTGCATAATGAACATTCTTCTCAGGATGTTTATAATGCAATGCACAATAAAGCATAAGAAATGTCATTACATACTGAGTGGCATTAATGGTTTGCCCAGGTTCAAGAAATTCCACCAGAAGTACCTCATCTGCATCCCAGAAAATTCAAGTCCATAACTTTTCCAACGGATGGAACTAGAGAGGTTGCAGCTGACGTTTTCAACACAAAAATGTATACGGATGTTCAGTGCCATTTTCCTGTAAGCCTAGAAGTTTGGCAATGGTGTTTGGGACATCGAGCATGATTCCACTGACTATTCAAACACCATTGTCAAACTTCTAGGATTATAGGAAAGCGGCGGTGAACATCCGGCGTACATGTTTTCTCATTGAAAACGTCAGTTGCAACCTCTCTATTGTCTTTGTCCTCTTTTTTTGTTGGGGAATTGAGGTAGTTCCATTCCATACTCTGCTGTTTTTTTTCTGGGTGCATAATGGTGGAAGCAGCTTTCACCACCTGTCACAATACTCAGCAAAAAATCTTTTTTTTTTTTTTTTCATTTCCATATCTTTTAACATGTTCTTGAACAATGGTTTTTCTTCGAAGTTTGTTGCTGTGAGTCAAGAAATGGGGAACCCCCTGGGCACACACTTTCTGATACAATATCCTAAACTGTTGATCATACACTATGTCCTATTCCAAGATTTGCTGCAATATCTTCCACAGTTACACATTGGTTTTCTTTAATGATCATATCCATTTTTTGTTGCTGCATTAATTAGAGGCAGTTTGCAAACAGCCACTACAAGGCTGATCTTCGATGTTTGTATTTCCATCTTTAAAATGTTTTACCCATCTTCTAATACTGCTGGCATCCATGGACACATCACCAAATGCATGCTGAAGTCTGATGAATTTCTGCAATGGAGATTCCTTCTTTAATGAGAAATTCAATCACAGCATGCTGGCAAAACAAAATGTTAGTTGCAGCCATTTTTTATTGGCTATCTGTGGTCACATGATGGAAGTTATTGACATCCCAACTCGCTCATGATGCTGTTTATAGTTTATAGATTATGGCAATGTTTTTAGTTTTTCATAATTAATACATTGTGATTTATAAAAAAATTATTGTTTGTGATTTTCAGTATGACCTATGTTTTTGCTCTCCAAATTAGTTTTAAGCTTTAATCAAACTTTGTAAGAAATAAAATTCAAGCTTTGATGATGGATTTTATTGAGATGTCATCATCAATGTCTTTAGTAAAATAATTAAGAAAAAAAAAGAGGACCAAAGAAGTTAGTAATAGAAGTGGCTCAAGATTTTTAATTTAAAAAAAAAAGAGGGAGGAGAAAAATTGTTTCTTTATCAATAAACAAAGATGATGCAGAATAAAATTTTCTTTTTTGTATAATGGTTAATAAAAAACAGGATCTTAGAAAAATCTCTCTTTATTTCCTATTTAAAGGTTAACTTCAATTTACATGATTTTGATTTTACACAGAACCAATCTACTGTGTATATCAAGGATTAGACATAGTTTAAGATTGTAAACAGTTTTTTGTTTCATGGATTCTTGAAATATGTTAAGAATATTTGAAATTATTATTCCATAATATTAAAATAAAAAAATATATATATATAATTTTTTACTGTTTAATTTCAGTCTTTATTGTCATATATAAAAAACTTGGATACACCTGGTGCAGTGTTGGTGTTTTTACCTGGATGGAATTTGATATTTGCATTAATGAGACATTTACAACAACATCCAACATTTGGTAATCCATCTTATTTAATTTTGCCATTGCATTCACAAATTCCCCGAGAAGAACAACATAGAGTATTTCAACCAGTTGATCCTGGAGTAACAAAAGTAAGAAATATTAAAGAGTACTCACCTTTATAATTTTAATAAGAGTAATTTTACTTTTTATTTTTGTTTTAATTCTTAATTAATATAATACACAATAGTTGTTTAATTAATTTATGACAATATATATGAATTGCATTCTGCAAAATTGCTCATTGAGAAATTATTCTTTTTATAAACTGTGATCATATTTTCAGAACTTTATTTATATTTCTGGTATTGTAATGCTAAATAAACTTGTGTCCAAAAAGTAAACATAATCATCATATCAGTATATATTTCAGAAAGTACCTGATCACAAATATATGAAATATAATATACATGTAAGAAATATGTCCTTTAATAAACAAAATAACTGGATTGTGAAAATCTAACTTTATTTGTGCAAAACAAGAAAACATTAAAATGAATAAAAAAAACCGTAGTGATTATTTTAACACCATAAAATGGCTAATATGGCACATGGTTGTTTCTTGCAAGTGCACACACTGCAGAAGTTTGGACTCATGTCACCTCTGATAAGTCTCACTTGGGGTTTCAGGATGTTGTTGTTCTACCTTTTTTCAGTAATGTTGGAGAAGAGCATGGGGCTCTGTGCATCTGTTTAAGCTTTATACTGTCATCTTCAAATCAATATCTTCTCTGATGTTAATTGGAGGGCCATTGAAACAAAACATTGCTTTATTATTGAATGAATCCAATTTCAATATGCTGTTAATATCAAATAAAAGTACTGTTGAGGATTATAACTCTTGAACATTTATTTTTCTTTGTCACCTAACTTTCTTTGTTGTCTGGATATGATGCTTTATGGCACATTGTGTTTTTGATACTTCCATAGACAACTGATTTGCTCCCAGCTTGCCACTAACTCTCTATAATAAAATTGTTGTGGTGTCTGTGTATCATCATCATTTTCACAAAAGCAATAATGTATTTTTGATGATCACAGAGAAAAGACAGCAATAATACTTTGTGCAATTTGCTGTATTTATGGCATATGTGTTTTACATAAATGTGCATTTGTTTTTTTAACATGTCAAATAATAATGATTTTCATACAGTGCTAACTCTAACAACCATTTTCTTCTACTGCAGTCTCTCTGACTTATGATAGGGTTAAGTTTGAAAATTCACATTGCAAGTCAAAAATAAAAAACAGTTGGCTATATGCAAGGTTATGCAGCATGTAATGTATGTTTGGACTATTGTTGATTGCAGTAGTCCAAACTCACGAGTGATTGCTATAACTGCCATGCTTAGATATTATCTAAGTTTCTCATTAAGAGTAATAGCCTTCCTCCTCTTTTCACCAGTAGTAGGAGACACAGTAGGGTATTTTATAGACATAATTGAGTATACTGTAAAACCCAAGAAGATATAAGATGGTATATGTATGTATGTATGTATGTATGTATGTATGATGGTATATATATACATATATACACACACACCAAGTATCAAGAAAGATCATTAATACATCAGTAGAGCAGCTTAAATTTAAATTTTGATTTCCAGTGCTTCTGCTTCACTTGCATTGGCCAACATATGTGTGAAATATCATCTGTCGAAACATCATAAATTGAGGAGTGTCTGTATTAGTTATGCTAATTTTTGCAATAATTGTGGGTTTGATAATTATGCTTAGTTTTGGACACTAAAATATTAAATAAGAGTTAAATATTTGATAACCTTTGGAAAGATGAATGTTTTTTATTGAAGAGAGGATTGATGTTTTATCAGTGTGTAGTAAGATGCTCTTTCTTTAAATATATTTTTCTGTTAATCCTGTTTCCATTTTTTTTTTATTTTGCACAAAATTAAGAAATGTATTTTATTAAATGCAGGGTTCCTACACACCTGGGAAGTAAGGAATTTTCATTAGTATTCAAAAAAAGTCATGGAATGTTAGTGAATTTGAAAGTAATGTACACTTTATGCCTATACTTCATAATGTAATTGCGCTTATGTGTTGTGGCATTACCAATGGTGAATTTGAAGTATAAATGAGTTCACAAGTACTTTCGATAGCATAAAGCTAGCATTGTCAAGTGAATATTGAATACAAATGGTTTTCAAATGATTGAATACAATGGTTTTCAAATTCAAGAATTTGAAAACCACTGTATTCAATAGTCACCCGATGATGCTAGCTTTATGCTATCAAAAGTGCTTGTGAACTCATTTATATTTCAAATTCACCATTGGTAATGCAACAACACGTAAGTGCAATTACATTATATGGTGAATTTGTTAATAATTGTCAAAAAAAAAAGTCAGGGAATTTGCTTCCTTGGCTGCCTTGTTGATATTTTGCTGGCAATATGTTTGATTAAGTGTAGCCAACTGCAGGCAGCAAAAAGTAATATGGTGCAAAACAACTTATGAAAAGGGATGCAGAATATTGTCAGGACCCAAAATTTCTCCCAAGCTTACATTAAATTTTCCCAAAAATTTACAAAGTAAACAAAATGATAAATAATTTAAATGATACTATTTATCATTTTTCATTTTAATAATTCAGAAATTATAAAAATATATAACTGTTAATTAGAAAAAATAACTAATTAAAATGTTGGAGAAGCAAAACAAATGTGCATAGTAAGTCAAATGTTGTTTTGTTTTGTCAATATGACATACTGTAAGGGACATGGGGTCAGGAAATTTGTACAAAGTTGATCAGGGGAAGTCATGGAAATTAAAACAAAAATTTGAGTAGGAATCCTGTAAATATGGATTAAAAGAAAAGTTAAGATAAGTTTTATATTTGAAAAGTTGTAAAGTATAAAAATTCACAAATATTATTTGCACACAATTTTGAATAGTAGTTTACTATTAAATTAATGCTGTTTACAAAATAGCTTTTTTTCAGAAGGAAATGCATTGTTTGTATTATTTACTAAAATATGGATGCCATAGATTAACATATTGCATAAAATATAAACATAGTGTGTAAGGGGGGAATGTTTATTCATTGAAAAAATTAAAAGGACAAAATTCAAATTAAAAACACATTAGTTAAGAGCATTGCCTCTAATAATGTCACAGCAACTAAAAGATTAAATTTATATAATCAGGTGAATTGGTAGTAGCTATTATCTATGATTGCATGAGTAAGTGACCAAGTTGTCAGCATAGTGATAATTATAATATGTTAAGGTTTAGATAAATAATATAAGCAACAAAGATCATCATTCTTTCTTATAAATACAGAAAAAAATTCAATATTGGTAGATGTATCTGCCTGAAACATTAAAACAGTATATCTCATGATTTTATTAAACATTTCTAGTAACCCCCAAAAAAATATTAATCTTATTCTTAAAATTTTCAAAAACTTTGTTTATTGTCATATATTCTGTATGTTTACACTCTGTTATGAGATAAAAGTAATTTTTGTAAGAAGAAATAATTTGTGTTTTATATGCTCAATGTAGTGAAATTTTATATAAGATGTCATTATAGTCATGTTTTTTTTAATTAATAAATACAGTAGAACCTCGAAAACTCGGTCTAATGTGGACCGAAGGGTAGCCGAGTTTGTGAAAATGCCGGGTTATCGGGAATGGGGTTAAAAAAAATAAGTACGAGTGTTTCCTCAGAAAATACTGTACTGTACTTGTATGTATTGTTTACTTGAGAATACAACAGAGAATAAACTGCCCAAATACCCTTAAACAAAGGAAAAGTACGTCCTTTATGAAGGCATAGAGCCTTTACTACATGAAAATGAAAATTAATGAATACACTGTGTACAGTAATTTACCTGATAAGACAGACCTCAGAAAAATACTTTATGAGAGCTTTTATACTTTTATAAAGCTGTCTATAATGAAAATTAATTAACTNTGCTCAATGTAGTGAAATTTTATATAAGATGTCATTATAGACATGTTCTTTTTAATTAATAAATATTTGGTTTTTTTTCTATTTTAAATAATAATTGTATGTATAAAAAAGTACTTAAAAATTTATATATTTTTATTTTTTGGTTTTTAGATTATTCTCTCAACAAATATAGCAGAAACTAGTATTACAATTAATGATATTGTTTATGTTATTGATTCATGCAAGTAAGTAATATTTATTTATTTATTTATTGCTTTAGTACTGTAAATTTTTAATTATATATATTTTATATTTGTAAAATGGAGGTTCATTATGTATGTTTTTATGATCCAAAAATTATAGCCCTAACTGTAATTACCTGATAATTGTAATATTAAAATATCATATGGATTCCACAATATAGTTTTGTGAACTTCATGCTATTTTCAGAATTTTATTGAAAATTCCAGTAAAAAAAATTTCATGTTAAATTGTGAATATTTTTTATTACAGTTTACTGAAAAGGTTGGAAATAGTTGTTTGAAAGTAAAAAAATTCAAATACTCATCCAAGAGTCAACAGTCAAATTATTTTACTTGATATTTTAAGAAGAAATTTTTTTATTTTCAGAAATATAAAATTAGAGTTGTCCAGATGGAAAGTGGACATGTGTCATATTTTATCGTGCAAAGTAGTGATTAGGGGACCATCTTACAGATGGGTAAGCTCATCACAGACAAAGCACAGACTGAATTAAGTATTCATGAGAATAGATTTTATCTCCAGTAATTGGCAGATTAATGTTAAGTTAGTTACAGCGGAAGTGTCCAGAATCGAACAATGGCAAGTAGTTTGGTGTTTAGTGGTTGAAGGGAATAGAAGTGTTAATATTTATAGACAAATGAAGCATGTTTATGATGATCATTGTTTAGGACAAACAACAGTGAATAATTAGTGCAAGAGTTACAAGGTAGGCCACAAGTCAATTCAGAATAAACGAAGACTGGGTCAGATGCACACTGTAATCTCTGCTGCATCAGTTGCTACTGTGGAAAACATAATTAGAAGTGGCAGACAAGTTACAACTCGCACTACAACTTTCACATTTTTGGACCTCAAGAAAGCTTTGTGAAGGCAAAGATTCATGTCAAATGATGAGGTTGAAGGATAATACTGAAGAATTTTTTTTTTATCAGCAGCCACCAGAATTCTATGCAAGGGGCATCAATCTACTGAGAGACATTGGAATCTTTGCCTAAACAAACATGAAGATTTCTTTCAGATTTGCCAGTTTTGACATTTGTCCACTATTTATTTGGGTGACCCTTATATTGAGTAAAATAAAAGTTTTTCAGTTCTGTCAAAGATATAACAAAATACTCAGTTTACTAATATTAACTTAATCCTTCAAAGAAAAAGGAAAAAAATATATTTTTAAAAGAACTAATGGCTAGATTCAAAATAAACTTTTTATTCTAGTGGTAAATATAAATTGAATGAAATTTTAAAAGCATTGATCTTATTATGTATATAATTTGAAACATGATTATCAAAAGAACTGCATTTTTTAAAGTATATTAGAAAATTATTATTGTATTTATATAATTGTAAAATTTTAATAACATGAGTGAATCTTCTAAACAAACAGATCTTAAAGGACAAAAAAGTAAATGAAACAAATTTTTTATTGAAGTAATTCAGTTTTAGTTAAACTTTATTAATAAAAGTAATAATAATTATGTTCAAAATAACTAAACTAATGCAAGTAGGTTGGATTTATTTTATCGTTAGTGATGAGATTTTTCCATAAGCAGTTTCTCAGTCATTACTGATTTTATATGTAGTCATCACTGATCTCTTTATTATTGAATTTTTTCCATAATATTAAACTTCATGTTTATTTATTGTATTTAAAATGCCTTTATTATGAACATAGATTATTGATTATAGTCTATATTCATGATATCATCCTTTATCCATTCTGTGAATTTAAAAATGAATGAATGATGCTACATTGCAGAAAATTTAAAGCTACACTTTATTGTATACCATAGTACATTATGAATAGGTACTAACTAGCTCTGTTATACAGGGTGTAACAGGAAAGATGGTCATAACTTTTAAGGGTTGATAGAACATGGCAAAGTAACAATTGTCATAATACAATGCATGGTAGAATGTGAAATGTAAATGCTGAAATGCAGTAAGTACGAAGAACATGGAGAACATAGTCATTTTATAGTTACAATTTTTGTAATAACTCAGGATGTATTTCTTCATAATTCGAAGTTTAGACTATTTACAAAAAGTCAAAATAACTTTTGAGTCTATCTTTTATCCTTTTTACACTACCACAGAAGTAACAGTCTTAAACAATTTTTGCTTTGAAGAACTCTTCTTAAAAACACAGGTAAAAATTGGTAAAAACTTCACAAGGTTAAAAAATATCAAGTGTCAGCCTTTTCTTGTAGGTATCTGATACTTTTACAATTACAAATACAAAGCAAAAATTGTTTAAGACTGTTACTTCTGTGACCGAAGGGTCGGCACCTCTTTGGTGCCCTGTCAGGATGACACCACCGCGTCTCGGCGGACACGGAAGCCGCGTTATTTAGGTCACGCGAGCGGTCGCGTAACGGGGCGATCAGAGTCGAGATAGGAGGAGAGACAGCGCACCGGAAGTGATTTACTCAGACGCTTTTTTAACGTAACAACTGTTTAATGGTTAACGATAGGATATACATTAGGGCTGCTATTAGATACATTGCTCGCTTTAGTATATAATAGTATTAAGATATTAAGATATTACGATATTAAGATATTACGTTTCTTCCCGTTTTGAGAGAGAGAGTTTACAGAAGTTCGCGTGTCGATATTTACCTTGTATGAAATCCCAAAAGAAGACAGTTCCGGACTCAGAAAACAGAAGACACAGTTCTTAGGCGTAGAAATATCCAAAGGCGAAGAAATATCCAAGGGCAAAGAAATATCCAAAGGCGAAGAAATATCCAAAGGCGAAGAAATATCCAAAGGCGAAGAAATATCCAAAGGCGAAGAAATATCCAAAGGCGAAGAAATATCCAAAGGCGAAGAAATATCCAAAGGCGAAGAAATATCCAAAGGCGAAGAAATATCCAAAGGCGAAGAAATATCCAAAGGCGAAGAAATATCCAAAGGCGAAGAAATATCCAAAGGCGAAGAAATATCCAAAGGCGAAGAAATATCCAAAGGCGAAGAAATATCCAAAGGCGAAGAAATATCCAAAGGCGAAGAAATATCCAAAGGCGAAGAAATATCCAAAGGCGAAGAAATATCCAAAGGCGAGGCACAGGGATAACGGGAGTGGTCCGAACGAGGAACTGGTGACGACTGACTCACTTTTGTTGTCGTGTCTAATGTTGAATTGTTAAAATCGCGCTATTAGGTCGAAAGGTGCTGAGAAAGCGTCGTTATTACGCCTGAGAACTTAGCAGATGTTTAGCTCCCAGTTGTAAAAGTTGACAGTTATTAAACAAAAGTATAGCTGTACTGTGATCTTATGACACCGTGGAATGAAGGTAGAACTACAATGTGATATTATGATGAGATGATATAAACACATCCGAATTCGGAATCTCACACTTCTGTGGTAGTGTAAAAAGGATAAAAGATAGACTCAAAAGTTATTTTGATTTTTTGTAAATAGTCTAAACTTCGAATTATATAGTCATTTTAATCATGGATATTTACAAGAAATAATGTTTCATATTTATAAGGATTGTTCTTTGAGATGTACAACGCGAAAAGGAAAAAATATACATATGCTTACAATTTAAAACAAATTTAATTTTGCGATGAAATTGATATATATACAGATTCTGTGTGGATTCCTGCTGTTCCCTTTTAGATGTTTCCAACAATCCTTGGTGATTGGATATAACAGTAGACCGGTAGTTAACTCCTCTATCTGACAATTATACTTATTTTACAGGTGTGAGCCTTAATCTAACTTAAAACTAATAGATAGAATAGACAGAAGGGAAATGAGAAGGATCATAGGACAGAAGGGTACCCAAAATTCTGGCGTACCCTTCTGTCTATTCTATCTATTAGTTTTAAGTTAGATTAAGGCTCACGCCTGTAAAATAAGTATAATTGTTCCTCGTCTGGGCTTCCCATGCTCGTATGTTCTCTTCTTAAAACAACCAGGCTCCTTTTGGGTTTTCCTCCAGTTTTGTCGATTGGATTCTCCTAACGATTCATTCCTTAAGGCCCCTTTCTGCAGTGCTCTCCGATTTCCAATTTATGAGCCTGTTACCACACGTCCGTCTCTGAGTCTGGTCTAAGAATATCTCTGGAATGTCTCTTTTCCCCCTCCAGCCTCGTTGCTGTCTATTGCTCTAACCCTACCTTCTGATGGGTTAGGGGTAAGTCGAGTTCTCGGAAGTCTGAGACAAAGGAACAAAGAAATTGTAAAGAAGGATAATTCTACAGAAATAGAATTTAAATTAAAACTAAACTATACAGAATAATATTAAAAAAAAGAAAGCAGACGTGTAGCCACAGTTCGAATGAATGACCACCAATACATTCCAGATTACAATCTCTATATTACAGGACCTCTGCCACTGTTATCATGCAATACATGCATGACNGTGTAACAGGAAAGATGGTCACAACTTTTAAGGGTTGATAGAACATGGCAAAGTAACAATTGTCATAATACAATGCATGGTAGAATGTGAAATGTAAATGCTGAAATGCAATAAGTACGAAGAACATGGAGAACATAGTCATTTTAATCATGGATATTTGCAAGAAATAATGATTCATATTTATAAGAATTGTTCTGTAAGATGTACAATGCAAAAAGGAAAAACATATACATGTGTTTACCAATTAAAACAAATTTAATTTTGCAATAAAATTTATATATATACAGATTTTGTGTGGATTCCTGCTGTTCCCTTTTAGATGTTTCCAACAATCCTCAGTGATCGGATATAACAGTAGACCGGTAGTTAACTCCTCTATCCAACCATTATACTTATTTTACGTGCATGAGCCTTAATCTAACTTAAAACTAATAGATAGAATAGGAAGAAAGGGGAAATGAGAAGGATCATAGGACAAAAGGGTATCCAAAATTCCGGCGGCTGTTCTCCACAGTTCCTCGTCTTGGCTTCCCACACTCATATGTTCTCTTCTTAAAACAACCAGGCTCCTTTTGGGTTTTCCTCCAGATTTGTCGATTGGGTTCTCTAACGATCCGTTCCTTAAGGCCCCTTTCTGCAGTGCTCGCCGATTTCCAATTTATGAGCCTGTTACCACATGTCCGTCTCTGTTAGAGTCCGGCCTAAGAATATCTCTGGAATGTCTCTTTTCTCCCTCCAGCCTTGTTGCTGTCTATTGTTCTAACCCTTCCTTCTGATGGGTTAGGGGTGAGTCGAGTTCTCGGAAGTCTGAGACAAAGGAACAAAGAAATTGGAAAGAAAGATAATTCTACAGAATAGAATTTAAATTAAAACTAAACTATACAGAATAATATTAAAAAAAAAAAGAAAACAGGTATGTAGCCACAGTTCGAATGAATGACCACCAATACATTCCAGATTACAATCTCTATATTACAGGACCTCTGCCACTGTTATCATGCAATACATGCATGACAATGGCGACGGAGTGGTTGGCATACACTTTGGAAGATATCCAACATGTCATATACTTCTAATTGGTTCTAATGGTACTAATTCTGGTGAAAAGTTCTTCAGGATAACAAATAGGCATCTTGAAATGCCTACTGTATTTGAATGCTGAGAAGGCATATCTGCCTTATCAGCATTCAAATACAGTAATACCTTATGCTACCCCGACTTACTTGAACCCGGAGTTATGTGATTTTCAAATCTCGTTGATTCGTCTTTTGTTTGAGTGCCACGCAACTCTTGATTACTCACTCCCCCCACACTATTGTTCAGCTTACATGTTTGGACGTGTTGCGCAGAATCAACACGTAGCTACAATTTATTTTGTGTTATTTATTTCTGTGTTTGTTATATCTATGGAGACTTGAGAGAGACTATGTGGTGATTTCTTGTAACCGTGAACGAATCAAAATACAAGATAAGATTAACAAGAACATTTATTAGCTTACATACATCCAACTTGGATTTTACACAAATTGCAAAATTATACCCCGACTTACGCGAATTCAACTTACACGGTTATTGCTCGGTCTCACCTATCGCGTAAGTTCAGAGTATTACTGTACTGTTGCATCTCTTGTGACCATGCAACTTCCAAATGACGATGTGTGTGAAACACTGCTCTTCTCACCAGCAAGTGCCCTTTTGCGGCATCACTTGGCTTCTAACCACTCATTGCATTACGACAATTGTTACTTTTTTACATTTACCATGTTCTATCATTCCTTAAAAGTTATGACTATCTTCCCTGTTACACCCTGTTAACAGAGGGAAAGTATAATGATCGGGCAAAAAATGACCCCTCCAAGATTTTTATGTTTTTGGTCTCTACATCTTGAAACACCGAGAAATGCAAAAAAAAAATTGGGGGTTTTTCTATACGTATGGATGTGTGTGGGGCAGAGTTTTGTTCATCCTGTTTAAAGCTTAAGGGAAGGGTATGACTATTCAGATATGAGCAAGTGAGAATATATGGCAAGAAGAGGTGATGACATTTCACACTCATGTTTCATGCACTGTTTCTTGCTTTCATCTGTATGGTCATAATAAATGAGAGCAAGAAATAGTGCATGAAACATCACCATCTCTTCTCAACACACATTCTCGCTCAGTCACATCTGCATAATTGCATTCTAATTCCTGTGCTTTTTGTTGGAAATTTCTGAAATTTTGCAAGGAGGTTTGTGTATTAAGAGGATAGATGCTATTAAATTTTGATGGTTAATGGTTGTGGGAATGGGGAGATAAAGGAGGATCATATATCTCATCTTGAGTACGGTTGGACTTAATGATGCTTTTATTTGTTATTAACATTTACAATTTTTTATAAAACCCATCCCTAGCTTCAAAATTAAGTTTTTTGCCATCTTATAATATAATCAAGATGGGTTGTTAATAGTAATAAGTGCAGAGCCCAAACGGTTAGGAGTTGAATGTTGAAGTTTGGTACACAGTTAGGATACGTCATGAAAATATACACTAAGAAGGGATTTTTCGAAATCCCCCCTGAAGGGGAGAGGGAAAGGATTAAGGCTTACTTTAAGGAACTTGGCTTCTATTGTACTATTTCAGATGCAATTTTTTGTTTTTAACTGCGCTTTAGTAGGGTACCACATGGCGATGAAAGAAGTGTATTCCTTAACAATGGAAGAGTTAAGAGAAAGCGATGTGCAAGATTCAGGCGCAAATGCAGTTTTTTGCATTTTTGAGGTTAATCAAACATATTTTTAGACCCATCTAAAAATTCTCTAATTAGTCTGGAAACGGGGGACCTAATTCTTGCATTCTGTGAAAATGGATAAGATTGGCTATAATGTAATAATCTTAATCTTCACTATTGTTACTTTTTCCCCGAGCACACCATGCTTATCTGCTAGTTTTATAATAATTAAAAATATAAAATATAGCAGATGGCACTAGCAAATGTTGCCAGGAAAGTTAAGCAACTTGTTGCTAGAATTGGAATTCATAGATCTTCATTTTACTACAAAAAAGTGAAAATTATTAATGTTTTTATATTTATGCCACTTTTGAATTAAATTTATTAATTAGATTTAGAGTGACAAAAATATTGAAAGTTTAAAAATGTATAATTTATTTTTAGAGCTAAGATGAAACTTTTTACNCGAGCACACCATGCTTATCTGCTAGTTTTATAATAATTAAAAATATAAAATATAGCAGATGGCACTAGCAAATGTTGCCAGGAAAGTTAAGCAACTTATTGCTAGAATTGGAATTCATAGATTTTCATTTCACTACAAAAAAGTGAAAATTATTAATGTGTTTATATTTATGCCACTTTTGAATTAAATTTATTAATTAGATTTAGAGTGACAAAAATATTGAAAGTTTAAAAATGTATAATTTATTTTTAGAGCTAAGATGAAACTTTTTACATCTCATAATAATATGACCAATTATGCTACTGTCTGGGCATCAAAAACAAATTTAGAACAGCGAAGAGGAAGAGCTGGTCGTGTTCGTCCTGGATTTTGTTTTCATTTATGTAGTCGTGCAAGATTTGAAAAGTAAGAACATTTTATAATGTAATATATGCTTATTTAATTTTTTACCCAAATTCACTTATGGTAGTATTTACAATAATTTGTTGTTAAATTTTTAAAGTGACTAATGATTAGTTAAAGTCACAATTAGTATATCTACTTCTAAAGTTTTTAACTTTGTTTAATATTGACTGAATTTGTAATTAGCTTATAATAGCAATAAGTTAATAATGGTTTTTTAGTTTTTTAGCTTACTTAAATAGATACTTAAAAAATGACATGTGCATATATCATAATGTGTGTTCTTTTATTTTTTTTTTTACTTTTATATTTACAATATGTGTTATTGTAAATAAATTTATTTTCGATTTTATTATTATAAAGATTGATTTAGATATTTTTAATTTTACAGGCTTGAAAATTATACTACTCCAGAAATATTTCGAACACCTTTACATGAAATTTCTTTGGCAATAAAATTATTACGATTAGGTGATATTGGCAGATTTTTAGCTAAATGCTTAGAACCACCTCCAATTGATGCAGTTATTGAATCGGAAGTTTTGTTGAAGGGTAAAATAGTAATGATTATATTTGATGAATAAATTAAAAAATTTTGGAGTTCACCAAAATGTTAATATAATTGTTTACATGTAAAGAAAAGAATAATTTTTTAAAAGTGTGATTTTTAAATAACATTTAAATATTTTAGCAACTATAATGAAAGATTTTTTTAATATGAAATAAATGAGAAATTAAAAGTTTTCTGTTCTATACAGATCAACTTCATATAAATTATTATTATTTAAATTATTTAAAAAATTTTTCAGATATGGGTGCATTGGATAATAATAGTGAATTGACACCTTTAGGAAGAATACTAGCTCGTATGCCAATTGAACCACGTTTAGGGAAGATGATTATTTTAGCTTGCATATTTTCGTATGTATTATTTCTTTAAATCATTTGTATACATCAGTGTTTCTCAAAGTTGGAACTCTGGGATTCTTCACCCCTTTTCAGAAGAACTGAGGAAAAAATTATGTTTATAAAAAAGATTATTATATAGAAGATATTAAAATTAAAGATTTCCTGGATAAAATTACTTTATTTTAAAGTAGCTCTGTAGAAATCATACAATAAAAACTTGAATGGAGCAAGAAACTGAGAATGAAAATACTTAAATGACTGTTTATGAACTTTGTAATAAGAAATAGTATATCTGAGTTTCTCATACTTTTGGTGCATAGAAGCAACATTATTTTGGCCAAAACTTTTATTCTATGTTATGAATGGGAAGCACTCATAAAACATTACTGCTGTACAACCACTATTGTGTAATGGTTTTTTTTGAGAAACTATTTGTTTTATTGTTTGAACTACTAGCTATATAGTAGTTGTTTTTATGGAACATTAATCTTACTTGAGAGAATGATTGGTAGAAAAATATGGTTATTCTGAGCCTTATACATGATTAAAAGATTCATATAAAATGCAAAATAGATTTATCAATTTTAATACAAAAATGTATATGGATATATAAAGCTCATTTAGATTTCACCTTACATTAAATTTTTGAAGAACTACTATTCTAACATTTTGATGTAGTATTAAAATAGAATTTCTACAATTATCAGAAAAAGCTGTTAAAATATGCATTTATTTTCCATTGCTGTATGTCTCTGAAGTGAATTTTCTTTATGAATTTCAAATAAACAAAAATATCTGAATAGATTAAATACAGAAATGGATATGCATCCAGCTGTTTTCTGTTAAGCTAGATATTAAAGAACTTTGCAAAAATATAATGTTCTTTTTACCAAAAAAAAATAATTTATTTATTAGTATAGAATTATTTATTTATTTATCACTATTTTTTCAAAAATAGTGATGATAAATTTTTGAATAATATATTTGAAAATAAATAAATTTATTAAATAAACAAAAATATTATTTTTCTTTAATAAATAAAATTAAAAAAAAATAGTGATTCTTCTTTTTAAAAAAATTTTTGTGTTTAGCAAGTCTTTTAATACAGTAAACATCAATAAGTAGAGTCCACAGATACAGAAGCTCTTTGAGGATCTGAAATAATTTTTAGGAATGTAAAGTTTGAGAACCACTGATGTATGTAATTTAAAAATTCTATTAATATTTTTATTATTTATTAATTGCACTTATATAATGCATGTTTTATATTTTTATTATAATGCAATATATTTGATATTTGTAGTTTTAATACTGTTATTCATTATACAGTAGAGTGTCGTCTATCTGAATCAATTGGGGACTGGGTTGTTCGGATAACTTATTTTTTGGATAACCAATTATGTACAAAAAAATATATTAACCTATCCCATGTTGAAATTTTTCTCCGTTGCATGTCGCTTTGCATTGAATTTTTGTCAATGTTAAGCCTAATGAAAACTTTTTAAAATAATAATCATGGCTATTGTATTGTTAAAAATTGTTTTTTTTATTTTTATTTTGTACAAATAAAATAAATATATTGAAAAATATAAAAACAAAAAAAAATTATACTTTAGAAGTTAATCTAGTATCGAAAACGTTCAATTCAGCATGACACACAGTCCTCAGAAAAACACAACACAAAAGTGCCAATGCTGCCAGCTAAAACACACATCAACAAAAAAAATATTGGAGTAGCCCAAGATATAGCCAAAGATTGCAGCGCCACAGCACTAGCAAAAATTTAAATTTGCCGACTGGAATTCTTTCGGATAACTGATGTTTCAGATAACCAACTTTCGGATAAACAGCGCTCTACTGTAATCCATTTCTTAATCTCTGAATTGCATATATTATTATTACAATTTATCTTAATTTCTTTGAAAATGCACGTTTGCACATTCTTTCTCATTTACAGAAAATTATTTTAAATGAATTTTTGTTTTATTCTTTGATGACTTTTCATTGTTAATAACATGGCTTAAGCATTAAACAGATCTTTATATTCTAATTGCAAGATAAGAGAATTAGTTTTTGGCTATCAATGTATGATTCTAAATTTAAAACTTTATTGGAATTAGTTTCAAAATTCAAACTATAGTTTCTTTACTGTTCAACTACTGAGTGATTAAATGAAAAGTTTGTTTTAACTCTTAATTAATATGGCTGTTAACAAACAGTAGCTTTGTATATGCTGTCTTCATGTAATGCCACAAACATTATTTATATAAATAATACATAGCAAGAAAAAAATTTGTTAGAAAAATAGAGACAAAATTTACATGCATACAAGAAAGACATTGGCTGTACACAAAGTGTTTAGCTGGTGGAAAAGAGGATAAGGGAAGGGGGAAAGAAGGAGGTAGAGGAGATAGGCAGTAGAGAAATGTAGAGCTGCAAGGTCATAGTCCCCCGAAAGGTCTAAAAGGAAACCTGAGTGTAGCGAACACCAATAATTGATTGCTGCCACGAATAGCTAAGTGTAGAAGTTAGTGCCATGTGGCTGTTAGTAGGAAGACTTATATCTACTTAAAACTAATAAAACTGAATGCGATTGCAAATCTTAATACTACTTAACAGCTAGAAGACAACGTGAAAAGCAAACGAACACAATGACAAACTAGACAAGGTGAACAGACTGACACAGACAAATGAGCAAGACCCTCAATTTTTTAATTTTTATTTTATTTTATTTTGTTTTTTATTTTTAAATGTTAATTTACTAACTAAACTAACCTACCATAACCTAAGACGGACCTAATCAGATGACTAAAGCTAACATACCCTAATCTAATTTAATCTAACCTATCATAACCTAACCAGAAACCAAGTTAAGAGACCCTCCCTAATCTAACTTACAACTAGGACTAATCAAATTTAGACTGAAAAAAGAAGACATAAAATAAGAATTAAAATACAAAATTGAAAGGCAGCTATATACCAACAGTTGAAACAAAGCAAGGGAAAGCTAATTGCTATCCATGCCCTCAGAGTAAGTGCTCTCAAGAGCCCCACTAAGGATATGAATGTGAGTAGATGATGTAACATTGGTGATATACAGTATAACTCTGTTAACTAATCCATAACTTCTGAACCATAAACATTCTATAAAGTATTAGAATACTGAATCATGTTTGACACTTGATAACATCAATATTATTACACCACAAATGAATACTTACATTATTATCTTAAAATTAAAGTCAAATGATTGCCAGATTTGATCAGGCTATATTACAACTGCTATTAATAATTAAATGCTATGTAATTTGTCTAGAGATAGGTGTTAGGTACTATCTTGTACTAAATTTAATAATTATAATTAAATTAATATTTTATTAATTAGAAGATTCTGGAAGAAAAAATTGACCCAGAGTGAGACTGAAATTCTCAACTGCCACTTACCATGTGGATGCATTGCCAGTTAGGCTAGTCTGAACTCTATCTGATCTTCATACTCAGAAATATTAATTTAACTGGCAATGCATCTGCAAAGTAAGCAGTAGTTGTTGGTTTCAGTCTCACTTTGGACCAATTCTTTTCTTCAAGAACCTTCTAAATTAATTAATAAATTATTAATTTAATTATAATTATTAAATTTAGTAAGAGATAGTACCTAAAGTCTACCTCTAAGCCAAATTACATAGCATTTAATTATTAATAGTAGCACTAATATAGCCTGAGCTAATTTTGCAATCATTTGACTTAAATTTAACTATTGGACTTGGAGGTATGTTTATATTGTAAAATTGAATTATAAAGTAACCAAATAAGTTTGCATGGCTTTTGGCAGAGTTTGTCGCAGCGACTTGTGTGTGTCATAAAGCACAGATTCAAATCAATCAGTTGGTGCACTTTACTTTGGTGTGTACAATTTTTATGAGATACTTTTGAAATGTCAGTTAAATCTGATGTAATTTGCTCGCTTTATGAGTTTAAACTCAGTTTGAAGGCAGCAGAAGAATTGCAAAGTATATATGGCATTTGGAAAAGATGTTATATCAGAAGGCACTGAACAGAAATGGTTTAAAATGTTTAAATGATGAATCACGAAGAAGTATGAAAGTTCAGAATTGATAATGAAGAATTACATGCTGTTGTTGGAAATGATTCTAGATTAACATGTCAGTGACTATTTATCATGTTAAAAATATTTAACATAAATGATGAAACACTTCATTTACATTTGTATCAACTGGAAAAATTATGGAAACTAAGCAAATGGATTCCACAAGCAATATCAGGTGACAATAAACTTCAAAGACTATCAATTTGTTCTTTACTTTTTTGTGTCATAAAAAATGAGCCATTTTTGGATTGCTTGTTCATTTGTGATGAAAAATGGATTATGTACTCTAACAGGTAGTAAGCTTATTGTTGATTCTTGCCAAATTATCCAGTACTGCACACTTCAAAGGCACTGCTTCATCCACTGAGTTTAGAGGGTTTTTTTTTTGTCATAGGTCAAACAGTTTCAGTTGAGATCTACTTGATGCAACTTGACTGTGTGCAAGATTGTTACTTCAGAAACAGTCCAGACTAGGAGAGTGCTATTTTTATAGGACAGCACTAGACATACTGCAAAACTTTTCACAGTATTCTTCATATTTTTTTGATATTTCTCCAAGTGATTATCAGCTTTTCTTGATACTAAATGATCACATATGAAACAGATAATTTCAGATTGAAGCATAGATTGCTAGATTTTTACTTCTAAAGACAAAATGTTTTTATAAAAGTGGTACTTACAAACTTGTATCTCATTAGGAAAGAGTTATAAATTGTGAAGGTGCTTATTTTAATGAATAAATCATATAAAAATTTCTGCAGTTTTTCAATTTTTATTATAAAAACCACACACACTGTTTTCATAGATATGATGATTTTATGTATTAGTTATTATTTTTAACATTCTAGAGAAATTATATATAATAAGTACAGTGGAACCCCGGTTAACGAACTTAATCCGTTCCGCGACTCCGTTCGTTAACTGAATTGTTCGTTAACCGAAGCAATTTTTCCCATAGAAATTAATGCAAATGCAATTAATCTGTTCTAGTCTCCGAAATTTTTGTGATTTTATTTGTAATATACAGTAATTTTCTTTGATGAAAATGTAGGAAAACGTAGTATCTATCATTACAGCAACAAACATGTAAACTTTGTTTAATAAAATAGCACTGTACATACCTTCGTTTGTTGTAGTTGGTGGCAGAAAAGTGGAGATATACGAACCTTAATGCTTAGAAGGGGAATCCCCTCCAAAAAAATAACGGGTAGCACTTCATCGGAAGATTCTTCGAGTCGAAGTCTCTTTCGGAAAAAAAACCCACCAGTGGCTAAGTGGTCTTCGTACCTTGAACACGGGGAGTTCGTTCGTGGGTTCGCACCTCGCTCAGACGGGCTGGCCACGTGGAGTTTTCCGGGTTTTCTCCACGTCTGTAACGCCTAAATAGGGGCCAGTTTTCCTTAAAAACACCTCCCAGAAGGCATTCCCCCTAGGCAGATCGCCCAAGTGTTGCGTTGCCATAACTTAACAAACAAACAAACCCTTTCTGTAAGGAACAAGAAATTGATCTAAAGTTGATTGTCTTATTCTTTTAATCAAAATTTTTCTCAAATGCGATAGCGTGTTGGCGTTTTCTGTTGCCACTATGACTTTTTTCTTTCTTGGATGCCATATTGATTAAATATATAAATCACAAACTGAAAAAAGAAGTATAGTACAAACACTCGGAAAAGCAATGCTTAACTCGCGCATGCCTAACACCAACTAAAATTTGACACAAAATACCGTTACGTTCGTTATCCGAGACAAAATTTTTGCAAAATAAAAGTTCGTTAACCGATTTGGTCGTTAACCAGGACGTTCGTTAACCGGGGTTCCACTGTATTGGCAAACAGTACTTTTCATAAATCAGTTTTAAAAAATTTCTGAATTTAAGTTTTAAACAAATTAACATTTGTTTAAAACTTAAATAATTCAATAGTCTAAATAAATTTTTTAGTTTTAATTATCAATTAGGATTAAATTTGACTGTTTTTCATATTTATGATTTATATTTAAAAAAACCAATTATTTTTAATGAATTTTTAGACTGGGCGATCCTTTATGCACAATAGCAGCCCACAGCAGTACATTTCCTGAACCTTTTGATACACCTTTTCCAAAGAGATTGGCCTGGGTACATCGACGTTTTTGTGGAGATAGATGGAGTGATCATGTAACTATGTTAAATGCATTTATTCAGTGGGAAGAGTCTCATATGCAAGGTGAACAAGCAGAAATGGCATTTTGTGAACAATATTCTTTATCTCTTCCAACTTTAAGAGTAACTTATGATGCAAAGGTAATTTTCACTTTTTTTTATTTATATTTAAGTTATGCAGTAATGAATTATATGTATGTATGTAATAATATATATTTTTGTAGAATCAATTGAAAGAATTATTATCATCTGCTGGTTTTCCTGAAGGTAGTACTGCCGAACAGTATTATGTTTTTAATGGTCCTGATGCAAAACTTGACATGGTAAGTGTTAACATTTTTATTTGTTTCTTTATTGATGTTGATATAAAATTTCTTTTTTAAGTTTTAGTCTTAATTCTAAGCAGCAATTATAAATTCTATTAGTATAAGAAGCAGGTACTATTTTAAATTCATAGAATAAATATTTTCAGGTACCTTATGATGAAACTATGAATATAAAAGATGCTATTGTAACAAATTTGTTTTAAATCTAATGAATATTTTTGAATTGGTTAAATTTTTAAACAGTCAAATCTCGGTTTTCAAACCTAATTCATTCCTAAAAGTTGTTTGAAAACCTAAACAAATCTTCCCATAAGAAACAATATAAAATGGATTAATCCTTTACTGACCCCAAAATAAAGTCTTTTTTACCTTAGCAGTATTTCATTCTTAAAAATGCTTAGAAATGCAATGTGTTCTATTATTTATTAATGCATTCTTTATTCCATTGGTATGTTCTAACATACCAATGGAATAAAGTTATAAATAAGAAAGACAGTTTCATTCATTTTATCCTTTACACATGAATTCTTGGATGAAATTTACACTACATGAATGCCAATTAATGTGGTTTTAATCAATTAATTTAAATTCTTCTACAGTGTGTACCAAAAAACAGAAGTAATAAATTTCCTGCAAGTGCACTGAAATGTAATTTAAATAGCAATGTCATTGATGATTTCTGTTGTGATGCCACTCAGCGCCACTAATTTTTGAATCAGTAGTCCTGTCTTGGTCAGGCTGTTGACTTTCTTTAATATAGGAAGTACAGGGAAATGTGAGAATTTAACTTTAACACAAATCAGTCATCAATTTCATCACACTTGTTCTATTCGATAATTATTGTCATCGGCTACCTGAGAAAATCTCCATTTACACTTTCTCAATGGTGAAAATGACGCATTCCTGTGATCTGCTGACCTCTTAGCCGAGCAAAATCGTTATGTTGGGACACGATGGTGTCAGTTCTGACAAGGCACTAAAGAGGTGCCAACCCTATGGTCACACAGTAGTCCTGTCTTGGTTGGTCAACTGTTGACTTTCTTTAATATAAGAAGTACTGTACAGGAGTTGACCATCTGTCTCTCTAATCTGTGGCCAGTTTTTGTCAAGTAGCTTGTTCATCAACTGGTGCAATTATGAATTTGAAATTCTGTTTATGAACTGATTTGTTTGAAATCAGTTCATGAGGTTTGACTAGATTAACCACATTATGTATAATTGCGTTGAATGTTTTCAAGTTTGATCATTCTAAAGTTAATATTTACTCTGTTTAAATTATACCAATTGTTGTATTGGCATTATAAACAAAAATATTATTGTTTTGGTTTAAAGCCAATGATTATTTTTTCTTTCTTACATACTTTATAGATTTTAGAATATTTTCTTACTATAATTGTCATTCTTTTCATAAGTGTACAGTATTTATCCAACTTATTTTAATATCAAAATCCTAATGATATAATGATAATTTTAATGCTTGGATTTCTTCCTTGGAAATATGCAATAAGTTAATAAAAACTTATTTTATTTTACATATGTTTAATTAAATAATAATTTATAGTACTGTAATTTTGTGCTGTTAACCCATAGATTATTTGTTTAAAAAGCAGTTTGAAAGAAAATGAAGGTTATATGCCATTTTTAAAATTGCAATTATAAATGCATTAAATAGCCTTTTTGTCTGTTACTAAGATCAGTTTTAGAAAATATAAAAATATTTTGTGTTTTCTAAGGGTACTGCAGACATATTCTTCTGCAATTGCAATTTTTTTCCTCTTTCTTTTGAAACCCCAAAGTCATGTATACTTATATCTTGTTGTTAGTTCTCTCTCATGCAGTTTTTTTACGTTCCATCCATGCTTTAATTGATATTATTAGACATTCTTGTTTGAATATATATCTTAAAAGCTGATAAATTTCTTTTGATTATCTCTATATAATATCATTTTAGAGAACTTTGGTAGTTAACCTATGATATGGCATCATCATAATAAGCTATAAATTCTGCTCTTTTCATTGCTAAAAACAATTATATACATTTAAAAGAATAGGCTAATATAATTGCACAATTTTAATTTTATTCATTTTCTAAACTTTTAGAAATTAGTTTTATGTTAATTAAACTGATATATTTTTGTGTAACACTTTCTAAACAGTAATTGAGACATTCTGTTGGATAGACTGAAGGTAGGAATACATTGGATGTTTCCTGCTTAAAAATATTTATAGCAGAAAACACATTTCTGTCACTCTTCAGTATCCTTTTCCTGAACAACGATACATTTAGACAGTTAAATAAAATAATGGCATCTATAAATGTAAAGTTATAAAATAAATATGATTATTTGCTTAGTTATAGCAATGATTCTTATAATTTTTGAGTTTTATAGTACAATTTAGAATGTTTTCTTACATCAAAAAATATTTATAAATTGGTTGTGTTGCATAGTGTCCTCTTTTCTGCCACATTATTTGAATAATATAATGATCCTGGTGATGTTTGAATGATATTTGCAAATGATTGTTCTAATTGGCTTATGCTGCATGCAGAAACAGAGATGATGAGTAGTGTTGAACTCTGTTTTTAGCTCTTTTTTGGTAATAAATAATTTTCTTTTTTTCTGTTATTGGGCTGAAGTTGAAATATTGTAGACCTATAAATTCCCACTGTCATCCATCCATTTGTCTGTCTTTCCTTAATCTCAAGAATGGAGTTAGATATATATGAACTACCAATGCAAACTGGAAATTGTGTAATTTGAATTAAAAAATTTTTTTATCAAAGAAGTTCGATACATGACTGGCATGATTCAATTGCTAAAGTAAAAGTATGATGTACAGGGGCAAAACACTGCTAATTTGAAAGTGGAGAGCATATATTTTAAAATAAATAAATTAAAAATATGATTAAAAATTGTAGCCCAGCATTGTGACAATGTCATAATAAAATAATTGTTTGTTTAATTTATTAAAGTTCATTTTCTGTTCAGAAAACATCTTTGTCTCTCTGCTTTGACTATTTTATTATATGAGGTGTGTCTTTGCTTTAAACAAGTTGATTTCCAAGGGATAAAATATTTTTGATTGGATGATGATGATATTCTGTCATTTGTATCTTGGCCACACAAGGGTTAGATTTCCTCTCAGTATTCCCATTTTTTATTTATTTCTTCTTTTTTTAATAATTGCATTTATGATGTAATGAAATAGAGAAACAAGACTTTATTAATGTTTAAACTGCTCTCAATGAATCAGTTATAAGTTATCCAGTGCAATTATGCAAAGGTATTTTTCATGTTCTAACAAGTTTCTTTAAGGTGTATCCTGTTGGATTATCTGCAAGAAATTACATTATTTATTTCAATAATATATGAATGAAGTCAGTCTTAGAATAATTTTTTAAAATGTATAACCAAATTTAGATGGCATTTATTTCATTTAAAACTTGTGGTAAATAAGGAAGAATGGAATAAAATAGTTTTTGAAACATTTTTATCCTGTTTAAATATTTTCAATTCGTAATTTTAAATACTATGAAAAATACAAACATCATTATCTATACAAAAGCAATAATAATCAATGTTAAAAATTTCAGATAATAAGCAGACAGATTTCTAAGTTTAAAATTATAATATTGCATTATATTCAGGCTAATATATTACATACAGTGTATTTTATTTATAAAATTAATCATTACAGTTGGTTGCTTTACTGGTAATGGGATATTATCCTAATGTCTGCTATCATAAAGAGAAAAGGAAAGTTCTTACTACAGAAGGAAAAGCAGCTTTAATTCATAAATCGTCAGTGAATTGCACAAATCTTCCCAGTTCTTTTCCTAGTCCATTTTTTGTTTTTGGAGAAAAGGTAAGATTATTTTTTGTTGAGAAAAATTTATAAAATTATTTTATCCATGTACGTACTTTTATTTTTAACTTCACTAGCTGTAAAATTATATGCAGGGTTCCTATGCACCTGGAAAGTCAGGAAAAATTGGGTATTTTCATTGGTGTTCAGAAAAAGTCAGGGAATTTTCCTCCTTGGTTTCTTTTTGCTGACAATATACTTGACTAAGTGTAACTGTCTACAGGCAGCAAGAAGTAATGTGGTGCAACACAAACTTATGAAAAGGGGTGCTGAATATTTTCAAGACAAAATTCCCCAAAAATTTACAAAATACAAAAAATGATAAATAATTTTAATTTAAATGGTATTATTTATCATTTTTCAAGTTTATTAATATTTTATAAAGTTCAGGAAACTTATTATGGGATAAATTTAATAAATAATGGCTTTTTTCAAAATCATGTAGATTTGTGGTTGTGGATTAATAATAGAATAAACTACTTAATTTAATAAAACATTTTATTTTTAGTTTTAATAATTTGGCAATTATAAAAAATATGTAATTGTTAATTAGAAAAATAAATAATTAAAAAGTTGGAGAAGCATTAGCATAAGTGCATAGTAAATTAAATGCTGTTTTGTTTTGTCAGTACGTCATAATGTAATGGATGCGAGGGTCAGGGAAATTCGTAGAAATTAAAACAAAAATTTAAGTAGGAATTCTGTATACGTATAATAATTCTGTGTAAATAATAATGCTAAAAGTACTTTTTGATTAGATAGTTAGTGAATGAATGCAAAAGTTCTCTTACTATTAACATCATTTCCAATGTAATTTGATTTTTAACTTGAGTTGTAAACATTAAAAATCAATGTTATTGTAAAACTTGGTATATTATTTTAAAATTTTTTAATATATTTTTATATAAATTTAAATTTACTTTGACATTAAATTTTAATTAAACCTATATATTTTATATTCTAGATTCGTACCAGAGCGGTTTCTTGTAAACAAATGACTATGGTGACACCTCTTCATCTTCTATTGTTTGGTTGTAATAGGATAGAATTGGTAAATGGAGTTGTTCAATTAGATAGATGGTATGAAATATTCTTATTCATTTTTTAATCTAATGTTAAAGATGATAAATTAATATGAATTAACATAAGTTTTAGATACTTAAAATGAGAAAATGTAAATAAATTCTGTCTGTCTTCTGATAGTAAAATATAATCACATTAAAAAATAAAAACATAAAAAATATTGATAAATATATTTTATTATATTTTCATTATTACAATCTACTTAAATAATGGTGTAATTAATAGAAACAGTTGTTCTGCAACTGTCAAAACTTAATAACCATATACACTGTATTCCATGTGGCTCTGATAGGTCTGTCATAATCAAAAAATTATCTTTTATTTTCCAAAATACTGAAGGAATAAGAGTAAGTCCTGTCTAATATCTATTAAAATCTAATCAGTTCAGAAAAATTATAAAAACTGAATAAATAAATTTTTACAAAAATTAAACAAAAATTATAAATCATATTTTCTGTATTGCATTGAAAATAGATCACCAGTTTTGACTGTCTTGCAACCAGAAGCAGAACAGTTAATCTGCTATTCTAATGAACTGGTTTGGTTTTTTGGTCAACTGGGTGGCTGACCAGTTAAGGTGGCAGCTTACTGCTGTTGGGGGTCCTAGGATTGGATCTGGATGGGTTGAAAAAATTCCAGGAATTTTTTTGGGGTGGTCTGTCTGGGTATATTGGATTCTGTCCCTTGCCACCTGGCTACCCAATTGTGGACCAGACCATCCATAATGGGCTTGCTAAAAAAAAAAGATATGGTTTAGTACAGTTCATTTAAATATCAATTTAGTTTAATTACACAAACAGTGAAGCAAGTATATTTGATGAAAACTTGGTCTCATTATTCACTGTTTTTGTGTGGCACAAGTGAGTAAAGAATGTTGGTTGAGTAATGTGAAGATCATAGATTCATGTTGCAGACATGAAATTTTTTTAATTAAGACAAAATTTCACTCATTAATATATCAGTTCATTTTTAAAAAACAAGTAAAACTACAGACTATATTTTCATCCTAATGACAAACATAGTTAATTCATTCTATTATTTGGTTTGATCTCTGGCTACAAGAGATCATCTGTTCCGTTGAGATGTGTATATTTTCAGTTACGTGTATTACATCATTGATATAGAAGCGCGTGGTATCTCTCCACCACTTCGATTTTGGTTTTCATTAGTTTAATCTTATTTTAACTTTAAAAATACTATATTTTTTAATATCNTAATACTGTACATACCTTCGTTTGTTGTAGTTGGTGGCAGAAAAGTGGAGATATACGAACCTGCTTAGAAGGGGAATCCCCTCCAAAAAAAATAACGGGTAGCACTTCATCGGAAGATTCTTCGAGTCAAAGTCTCTTTCGGTAAAAAAAACCACCAATGGCTAAGTGGTCTTCGTACCTTAAACACGGGGAGTTCGTTCATAGGTTCACACCTCGCTCAGATGGGCTGACCACATGGAGTTTTCCGGGTTTTCTCCATGTCTGTAATGCCTAAATAGGGGCCAGTTTTCCTTAAAAACACCTCCCAGAAGGCATTCCCCCTAGGCAGATCGCCCAAGTGTTGCATTGCCATAACTTAACAAACAAACAAACCCTTTCTGTAAGGAACAAGAAATTGATCTAAAGTTGATTGTCTTATTCTTTTAATCAAAATTTTTCTCAAATGCGATAGCGTGTTGGCGTTTTCTGTTGCCACTATGACTTTTTTCTTTCTTGGATGCCATATTGATTAAATATATAAATCACAAACTGAAAAAAGAAGTATAGTACAAACACTCGGAAAAGCAATGCTTAACTCGCGCATGCCTAACACCAACTAAAATTTGACACAAAATACCGTTACGTTCGTTATCCGAGACAAAATTTTTGCAAAATAAAAGTTCGTTAACCGATTTGGTCGTTAACCGATTTGGTCGTTAACCAGGACGTTCGTTAACCGGGGTTCCACTGTATTGGCAAACAGTACTTTTCATAAATCAGTTTTAAAAAATTTCTGAATTTAAGTTTTAAACAAATTAACATTTGTTTAAAACTTAAATAATTCAATAGTCTAAATAAATTTTTTAGTTTTAATTATCAATTAGGATTAAATTTGACTGTTTTTCATATTTNGCGTGCGAAAATTACTTGGATATTATTTTTCTAAAAATATCGTGGAAATAAGGTAGGTTGATACAGAAACTATTTATTGCACATGTACTGTATATGACCTTCAAAAAACTAAAATAAATTTTATCAAACGATGAGATCAGCTGATTAATTGTATCATGTACAATATTTTATAGCCCTAAAGAAAATACTGTAGGTCTACAGTAAAATAAATTTCATTTTTCCCCACAGTTAAACTTCACTGCTAATTGCCATTGTGATAAACCATTTTCACTTTCTCTGATAACTTTAACAGTATCTTCTAATGACAGCACTTTGCATTTCTTTCGTTTTTTGGACAATTTCAAACAAACTGAAATGAATTTCCTTTGTTGCTAGACTAATTCATTAACACCTGCACCTAATTTCAAGGGTGGGAAAAGTGCCCGGGGTGGGTTTGAACAAGAGTTTAGACCAGATATATTTGCAAAAGGGGTTGCTTATTACAGTTGTTTTATATTGTTTCTGATCAAAAATCAATGCCAGCGGTTGCGATACACAGATGGTTGTTTAATACAGGTAACTTATACAAAGACTTTATGTATAAACTATTCCGTGCTGGAAATTTTTGCCTGTTTTGACAGATGCTTGTTGAATGCAGGTGGTTGCCTAAGCAGTTTTTACTGTATATCTTGATATATAAATTTCTATTACCGAGGGTTATTGTGAACCGAGGGGGTTAGAGCGGAGAGCTTCTCCCCACTTATCGGCTTCATTGTCAGGGATGGCGTGGTAATTGAGTGGGAGGGGTAGTGAAGTCGTGATGAGGTGTCGATCGTACTCAAAGATCCTATATATTTTATATTCTAGATTCGTACCAGAGCGGTTTCTTGTAAACAAATGACTATGGTGACACCTCTTCATCTTCTATTGTTTGGTTGTAATAGGNTTCATATTTATGATTTATATTTAAAAAAACCAATTATTTTTAATGAATTTTTAGACTGGGCGATCCTTTATGCACAATAGCAGCCCACAGCAGTACATTTCCTGAACCTTTTGATACACCTTTTCCAAAGAGATTGGCCTGGGTACATCGACGTTTTTGTGGAGATAGATGGAGTGATCATGTAACTATGTTAAATGCATTTATTCAGTGGGAAGAGTCTCATATGCAAGGTGAACAAGCAGAAATGGCATTTTGTGAACAATATTCTTTATCTCTTCCAACTTTAAGAGTAACTTATGATGCAAAGGTAATTTTCACTTTTTTTTATTTATATTTAAGTTATGCAGTAATGAATTATATGTATGTATGTAATAATATATATTTTTGTAGAATCAATTGAAAGAATTATTATCATCTGCTGGTTTTCCTGAAGGTAGTACTGCCGAACAGTATTATGTTTTTAATGGTCCTGATGCAAAACTTGACATGGTAAGTGTTAACATTTTTATTTGTTTCTTTATTGATGTTGATATAAAATTTCTTTTTTAAGTTTTAGTCTTAATTCTAAGCAGCAATTATAAATTCTATTAGTATAAGAAGCAGGTACTATTTTAAATTCATAGAATAAATATTTTCAGGTACCTTATGATGAAACTATGAATATAAAAGATGCTATTGTAACAAATTTGTTTTAAATCTAATGAATATTTTTGAATTGGTTAAATTTTTAAACAGTCAAATCTCGGTTTTCAAACCTAATTCATTCCTAAAAGTTGTTTGAAAACCTAAACAAATCTTCCCATAAGAAACAATATAAAATGGATTAATCCTTTACTGACCCCAAAATAAAGTCTTTTTTACCTTAGCAGTATTTCATTCTTAAAAATGCTTAGAAATGCAATGTGTTCTATTATTTATTAATGCATTCTTTATTCCATTGGTATGTTCTAACATACCAATGGAATAAAGTTATAAATAAGAAAGACAGTTTCATTCATTTTATCCTTTACACATGAATTCTTGGATGAAATTTACACTACATGAATGCCAATTAATGTGGTTTTAATCAATTAATTTAAATTCTTCTACAGTGTGTACCAAAAAAACAGAAGTAATAAATTTCCTGCAAGTGCACTGAAATGTAATTTAAATAGCAATGTCATTGATGATTTCTGTTGTGATGCCACTCAGCGCCACTAATTTTTGAATCAGTAGTCCTGTCTTGGTCAGGCTGTTGACTTTCTTTAATATAGGAAGTACAGGGAAATGTGAGAATTCAACTTTAACACAAATCAGTCATCAATTTCATCACACTTGTTCTATTCGATAATTATTGTCATCGGCTACCTGAGAAAATCTCCATTTACACTTTCTCAATGGTGAAAATGACGCATTCCTGTGATCTGCTGACCTCTTAGCCGAGCAAAATCGTTATGTTGGGACACGATGGTGTCAGTTCTGACAAGACACTAAAGAGGTGCCAACCCTATGGTCACACAGTAGTCCTGTCTTGGTTGGTCAACTGTTGACTTTCTTTAATATAAGAAGTACTGTACAGGAGTTGACCATCTGTCTCTCTAATCTGTGGCCAGTTTTTGTCAAGTAGCTTGTTCATCAACTGGTGCAATTATGAATTTGAAATTCTGTTTATGAACTGATTTGTTTGAAATCAGTTCATGAGGTTTGACTAGATTAACCACATTATGTATAATTGCGTTGAATGTTTTCAAGTTTGATCATTCTAAAGTTAATATTTACTCTGTTTAAATTATACCAATTGTTGTATTGGCATTATAAACAAAAATATTATTGTTTTGGTTTAAAGCCAATGATTATTTTTTCTTTCTTACATACTTTATAGATTTTAGAATATTTTCTTACTATAATTGTCATTCTTTTCATAAGTGTACAGTATTTATCCAACTTATTTTAATATCAAAATCCTAATGATATAATGATAATTTTAATGCTTGGATTTCTTCCTTGGAAATATGCAATAAGTTAATAAAAACTTATTTTATTTTACATATGTTTAATTAAATAATAATTTATAGTACTGTAATTTTGTGCTGTTAACCCATAGATTATTTGTTTAAAAAGCAGTTTGAAAGAAAATGAAGGTTATATGCCATTTTTAAAATTGCAATTATAAATGCATTAAATAGCCTTTTTGTCTGTTACTAAGATCAGTTTTAGAAAATATAAAAATATTTTGTGTTTTCTAAGGGTACTGCAGACATATTCTTCTGCAATTGCAATTTTTTTCCTCTTTCTTTTGAAACCCCAAAGTCATGTATACTTATATCTTGTTGTTAGTTCTCTCTCATGCAGTTTTTTTACGTTCCATCCATGCTTTAATTGATATTATTAGACATTCTTGTTTGAATATATATCTTAAAAGCTGATAAATTTCTTTTGATTATCTCTATATAATATCATTTTAGAGAACTTTGGTAGTTAACCTATGATATGGCATCATCATAATAAGCTATAAATTCTGCTCTTTTCATTGCTAAAAACAATTATATACATTTAAAAGAATAGGCTAATATAATTGCACAATTTTAATTTTATTCATTTTCTAAACTTTTAGAAATTAGTTTTATGTTAATTAAACTGATATATTTTTGTGTAACACTTTCTAAACAGTAATTGAGACATTCTGTTGGATAGACTGAAGGTAGGAATACATTGGATGTTTCCTGCTTAAAAATATTTATAGCAGAAAACACATTTCTGTCACTCTTCAGTATCCTTTTCCTGAACAACGATACATTTAGACAGTTAAATAAAATAATGGCATCTATAAATGTAAAGTTATAAAATAAATATGATTATTTGCTTAGTTATAGCAATGATTCTTATAATTTTTGAGTTTTATAGTACAATTTAGAATGTTTTCTTACATCAAAAAATATTTATAAATTGGTTGTGTTGCATAGTGTCCTCTTTTCTGCCACATTATTTGAATAATATAATGATCCTGGTGATGTTTGAATGATATTTGCAAATGATTGTTCTAATTGGCTTATGCTGCATGCAGAAACAGAGATGATGAGTAGTGTTGAACTCTGTTTTTAGCTCTTTTTTGGTAATAAATAATTTTCTTTTTTTCTGTTATTGGGCTGAAGTTGAAATATTGTAGACCTATAAATTCCCACTGTCATCCATCCATTTGTCTGTCTTTCCTTAATCTCAAGAATGGAGTTAGATATATATGAACTACCAATGCAAACTGGAAATTGTGTAATTTGAATTAAAAAATTTTTTTATCAAAGAAGTTCGATACATGACTGGCATGACTCAATTGCTAAAGTAAAAGTATGATGTACAGGGGCAAAACACTGCTAATTTGAAAGTGGAGAGCATATATTTTAAAATAAATAAATTAAAAATATGATTAAAAATTGTAGCCCAGCATTGTGACAATGTCATAATAAAATAATTGTTTGTTTAATTTATTAAAGTTCATTTTCTGTTCAGAAAACATCTTTGTCTCTCTGCTTTGACTATTTTATTATATGAGGTGTGTCTTTGCTTTAAACAAGTTGATTTCCAAGGGATAAAATATTTTTGATTGGATGATGATGATATTCTGTCATTTGTATCTTGGCCACACAAGGGTTAGATTTCCTCTCAGTATTCCCATTTTTTATTTATTTCTTCTTTTTTTAATAATTGCATTTATGATGTAATGAAATAGAGAAACAAGACTTTATTAATGTTTAAACTGCTCTCAATGAATCAGTTATAAGTTATCCAGTGCAATTATGCAAAGGTATTTTTCATGTTCTAACAAGTTTCTTTAAGGTGTATCCTGTTGGATTATCTGCAAGAAATTACATTATTTATTTCAATAATATATGAATGAAGTCAGTCTTAGAATAATTTTTTAAAATGTATAACCAAATTTAGATGGCATTTATTTCATTTAAAACTTGTGGTAAATAAGGAAGAATGGAATAAAATAGTTTTTGAAACATTTTTATCCTGTTTAAATATTTTCAATTCGTAATTTTAAATACTATGAAAAATACAAACATCATTATCTATACAAAAGCAATAATAATCAATGTTAAAAATTTCAGATAATAAGCAGACAGATTTCTAAGTTTAAAATTTTAATATTGCATTATATTCAGGCTAATATATTACATACAGTGTATTTTATTTATAAAATTAATCATTACAGTTGGTTGCTTTACTGGTAATGGGATATTATCCTAATGTCTGCTATCATAAAGAGAAAAGGAAAGTTCTTACTACAGAAGGAAAAGCAGCTTTAATTCATAAATCGTCAGTGAATTGCACAAATCTTCCCAGTTCTTTTCCTAGTCCATTTTTTGTTTTTGGAGAAAAGGTAAGATTATTTTTTGTTGAGAAAAATTTATAAAATTATTTTATCCGTGTACGTACTTTTATTTTTAACTTCACTAGCTGTAAAATTATATGCAGGGTTCCTATGCACCTGGAAAGTCAGGAAAAATTGGGTATTTTCATTGGTGTTCAGAAAAAGTCAGGGAATTTTCCTCCTTGGTTTCTTTTTGCTGACAATATACTTGACTAAGTGTAACTGTCTACAGGCAGCAAGAAGTAATGTGGTGCAACACAAACTTATGAAAAGGGGTGCTGAATATTTTCAAGACAAAATTCCCCAAAAATTTACAAAATACAAAAAATGATAAATAATTTTAATTTAAATGGTATTATTTATCATTTTTCAAGTTTATTAATATTTTATAAAGTTCAGGAAACTTATTATGGGATAAATTTAATAAATAATGGCTTTTTTCAAAATCATGTAGATTTGTGGTTGTGGATTAATAATAGAATAAACTACTTAATTTAATAAAACATTTTATTTTTAGTTTTAATAATTTGGCAATTATAAAAAATATGTAATTGTTAATTAGAAAAATAAATAATTAAAAAGTTGGAGAAGCATTAGCATAAGTGCATAGTAAATTAAATGCTGTTTTGTTTTGTCAGTACGTCATAATGTAATGGATGCGAGGGTCAGGGAAATTCGTAGAAATTAAAACAAAAATTTAAGTAGGAATTCTGTATACGTATAATAATTCTGTGTAAATAATAATGCTAAAAGTACTTTTTGATTAGATAGTTAGTGAATGAATGCAAAAGTTCTCTTACTATTAACATCATTTCCAATGTAATTTGATTTTTAACTTGAGTTGTAAACATTAAAAATCAATGTTATTGTAAAACTTGGTATATTATTTTAAAATTTTTTAATATATTTTTATATAAATTTAAATTTACTTTGACATTAAATTTTAATTAAACCTATATATTTTATATTCTAGATTCGTACCAGAGCGGTTTCTTGTAAACAAATGACTATGGTGACACCTCTTCATCTTCTATTGTTTGGTTGTAATAGGATAGAATTGGTAAATGGAGTTGTTCAATTAGATAGATGGTATGAAATATTCTTATTCATTTTTTAATCTAATGTTAAAGATGATAAATTAATATGAATTAACATAAGTTTTAGATACTTAAAATGAGAAAATGTAAATAAATTCTGTCTGTCTTCTGATAGTAAAATATAATCACATTAAAAAATAAAAACATAAAAAATATTGATAAATATATTTTATTATATTTTCATTATTACAATCTACTTAAATAATGGTGTAATTAATAGAAACAGTTGTTCTGCAACTGTCAAAACTTAATAACCATATACACTGTATTCCATGTGGCTCTGATAGGTCTGTCATAATCAAAAAATTATCTTTTATTTTCCAAAATACTGAAGGAATAAGAGTAAGTCCTGTCTAATATCTATTAAAATCTAATCAGTTCAGAAAAATTATAAAAACTGAATAAATAAATTTTTACAAAAATTAAACAAAAATTATAAATCATATTTTCTGTATTGCATTGAAAATAGATCACCAGTTTTGACTGTCTTGCAACCAGAAGCAGAACAGTTAATCTGCTATTCTAATGAACTGGTTTGGTTTTTTGGTCAACTGGGTGGCTGACCAGTTAAGGTGGCAGCTTACTGCTGTTGGGGGTCCTAGGATTGGATCTGGATGGGTTGAAAAAATTCCAGGAATTTTTTTGGGGTGGTCTGTCTGGGTATATTGGATTCTGTCCCTTGCCACCTGGCTACCCAATTGTGGACCAGACCATCCATAATGGGCTTGCTAAAAAAAAAAGATATGGTTTAGTACAGTTCATTTAAATATCAATTTAGTTTAATTACACAAACAGTGAAGCAAGTATATTTGATGAAAACTTGGTCTCATTATTCACTGTTTTTGTGTGGCACAAGTGAGTAAAGAATGTTGGTTGAGTAATGTGAAGATCATAGATTCATGTTGCAGACATGAAATTTTTTTAATTAAGACAAAATTTCACTCATTAATATATCAGTTCATTTTTAAAAAACAAGTAAAACTACAGACTATATTTTCATCCTAATGACAAACATAGTTAATTCATTCTATTATTTGGTTTGATCTCTGGCTACAAGAGATCATCTGTTCCGTTGAGATGTGTATATTTTCAGTTACGTGTATTACATCATTGATATAGAAGCGCGTGGTATCTCTCCACCACTTCGGTTTTGGTTTTCATTAGTTTAATCTTATTTTAACTTTAAAAATACTATATTTTTTAATATCTTAAGTACAATAAAAAATTATTAATTAATAATAAAACAATTTTACTATTTTTTCTCATTATATGATTTCATTACATTCCGCAATGAAAATTGCAGAATCAAAAAAGGAAGTAAAAACTGATTTTTGCATTAATGCATTTATTGTTTTTTGAATATTTTGCGTGCGAAAATTACTTGGATATTATTTTTCTAAAAATATCGTGGAAATAAGGTAGGTTGATACAGAAACTATTTATTGCACATGTACTGTATATGACCTTCAAAAAACTAAAATAAATTTTATCAAACGATGAGATCAGCTGATTAATTGTATCATGTACAATATTTTATAGCCCTAAAGAAAATACTGTAGGTCTACAGTAAAATAAATTTCATTTTTCCCCACAGTTAAACTTCACTGCTAATTGCCATTGTGATAAACCATTTTCACTTTCTCTGATAACTTTAACAGTATCTTCTAATGACAGCACTTTGCATTTCTTTCGTTTTTTGGACAATTTCAAACAAACTGAAATGAATTTCCTTTGTTGCTAGACTAATTCATTAACACCTGCACCTAATTTCAAGGGTGGGAAAAGTGCCCGGGGTGGGTTTGAACAAGAGTTTAGACCAGATATATTTGCAAAAGGGGTTGCTTATTACAGTTGTTTTATATTGTTTCTGATCAAAAATCAATGCCAGCGGTTGCGATACACAGATGGTTGTTTAATACAGGTAACTTATACAAAGACTTTATGTATAAACTATTCCGTGCTGGAAATTTTTGCCTGTTTTGACAGATGCTTGTTGAATGCAGGTGGTTGCCTAAGCAGTTTTTACTGTATATCTTGATATATAAATTTCTATTACCGAGGGTTATTGTGAACCGAGGGGGTTAGAGCGGAGAGCTTCTCCCCACTTATCGGCTTCGTTGTCAGGGATGGCGTGGTAATTGAGTGGGAGGGGTAGTGAAGTCGTGATGAGGTGTCGATCGTACTCAAAGATGAGACATTAGATTTAAGAATAACATATTTAATATAAAACAAACAATATAAGTACATGTGAGTACATCTTATATTTCAACAAAAAAAAGTAATGATAATGTAAATTGTAAAGTAATGATGATGATAATATATCCACGTCACGACAATATCGGATGACCGATGTCCATCTTTCCTGTCGTGGGACCACCGAAGGTCCTTGACCCAATATTTTCTAAGTCCTATCAAAAAAAAAAAAAAAAAAAAAATAGCGACTATTTCCTAAGTTCTAACCTAAAAAGGTAGCGAACATTTTCTAAGTCCCGGGTATAATGAAAGAGAGGGAAGCAAAAATATTCTAAGTCTTTACCTCATTTGGAGCGGCGATCAGAAGCTGCAAAGTATCCAGAGGCAGAGAAGGCTTGAAGAGTCCGATCCTTGGTTTCGTGCCTCGACGATCGCCCAGAGGTGTGAGAGCGATCCCTTTTATACCCATTCCCCGTGGGAAATATCTGGGATTTCGTTGACGTAATTGTCTTTGCAGCGAGTGTTGTTTACTTGAATTTGACAGTTCTCCAGATTTATTACCATCTCCCTGTCATGGGTGACGACGTTATAGAGACATCTTTTGACCAATTAGTATTAAATTCGTCATCACCTGGGGAGATGACTGGCCATCCTCAGAAACGTGATATAATTTCTCATCGTATGGTCTACCCAGAGTAAACAAAAAGGTCACCTACAAGGTTACTCCCTACAGTAACATGGTTAATTACTTGCACACTGCAGATACTTTAAGCTCGGGCGAACTTGCTAACTCCTGGGAAGAGGGGAGTTCTTCCGCGGTCGCCTTGGATGCTTCCGTCTGCACAGGATGTCACCTTTCTAAGTGACGCAGTACCAGGCCTGGGGTCACAAGGTCAGTTTCCCGGGCAAAGGGGTGAAAATGGGAGAATTAAGGGAAATAATGACAAAAGAAAAATTCTATATGACTTCTATTACTGTAAGTTCTCATAAGTGTGTCTGATTTCTCACATATATATATACAGGGTGAGTCAAAATTATGTGAACAATCTTAATTTTTAATTAAACATTATTAATGAAACATCTTAATTTTGTTTTGTTTTCTATTTTGATTGGTCACGATGGACTGTTGTTATGGCCTCCCCAATCTCCGGTGTTCTGGCACTAAATTGTACCGTTGAACGTTGGTTTGAGTGCATTAATTGTGCTGGTGGTCAGATTGAGACTCTGTATAATGCAAACTTTGAGTAAATGCTTTCTCTCAAATAGTGTTTACATAATTTTGACTCACCCAAGATTGTTCACATAATTTTGACTTACCCTGTGTACACAACATTCATAGAACCACTGAAAGCTATTTGAAAATTCTTTCTATAATCTTCAATTCCCATGTCACGTATTAGTTTAGTTTGAAGGTCTTTGAAATCATCATACTGTTTACCTTTCATGTGCATCTTGAGTTGTGGAAAGAAGAAAAATGCACATGGCACAAGATCTGGCAGATATTATGAGTGAACAAGCATGAGGACTTGTTTTCAAAGCTAAAAGCTGCTGCACAATTCCAACTGAATGGACTGCACATTGTCATAGAGAAGGGGAAAAAATCTTTGCTTTCCATTTTTCAGCACACCAAGGTAGAAGCAAGAAGTCACAGTTGTGCCTGCTGAGAGCAGATCACAAATCTTTTCAATGTTCATATCTGCCAAACTTGTTGTCAGACGATCTTCCCTTGCATCATCATCAAGCAATTGCCTCTTTATTGAAATAATCCTTTGCACTCACACAAACACCTTTGAACAAGCTAAACAATCATCTCTATACAGAATTTTCATGGTATTGTAGCTGTTTACAATTACTTTTCTTTGTTCCATCACTAATTTTTTGACAAACAAAAAAGACAAAAATAACTTTTACAAGTACAGTATATAGAAAGAACTGACAACAGAATTCTGAAAACTTTCTTGTCTAAACATGAAAGTTTTAACTAAAAGATTAGACAGTAATCAGATACATAACGTTACTTGTCTCTTTGATAAACAAATCAGTCCCAGAACTTTCCAGACAGACAATGTATATAAAAAGGAATTTTCTGCAATTTTGTGTTGCTTATGTAATTTATGTAAATACCTCATATGCAAAAGGATAATGTGCATTTACATAGAAAACATGTTGGGAAACACTGGTAAGTGCATGTAGTGTTTCCTAGTTCAAATCCTTGACTGTGTGTCACAATTGATCCATGAACCTACTGCTTGGTGGCACTTTAAACACTTGTTGTAGTCAGATATGTGCCGCGTGCAGTAATAGTTATGTTCATTGCAACACAGCAGTGTTGTTGGCCATACTGGTAGTGTATGTGTAGGAGAATGGTGCAGAGACACCATTTGGATGATTTTATGCGTAGATGAATTGTTGGATGACTGGAGAGTGGTCAGACCCAAATGGAAGTGTCATCTTAAGGGTCTGGCAAATATTCCAGCAGGGTGAAAATGTCACTTGGAGGTGTGGTGGAGGTCTTCCAAGGTGTACCACTAGCCAAGAGGACCATTACTTACTAACAGCCAGACACAATAGACACAGCACCACTTCGGATCTCACTAGAGATCTTGCAGCTGCTACAGGGACCAACATTTCAAGGTTTACAGACGGTTAGCTGAGGAACACCTGTAAGCCAGAAGACCAGCAAGATATGTTTCGTTAAATCAAGTGCAAAGAAGAGCTCATTTGAATTGTTCCAGGGGACATCACACATGGACCCAGGAGCAATGGAGTCATATCTTGTTTACAGATGAATCCAGGTTTAGTCTCAGCAGTGATTCATGACGTGTCTTCATCTGGAGAGAACCTGGGACACGGTTCCATCCAGAGAACATTACTGAACTGGACTAGTACAGAGGTGGAGGAGTCATAGTGTGGGATGGCATTATCCTGGAGTCTCATACTCCCTTGCATGTCTTCCCATGGGGTTCGATCACAGGTACGGTGTATTGGGATGCCATCCTGGACCAATATGTTCATCTCTTTCTAGGTGCAGCGGGCGGGCATTGAGTTCATTCTGATAAATGATAATGCTTGTCCCCATCAAGCAGGCGTAGTGGATGAGTACCTCGAAACAAAAGATATCAGACGATTTGATTGGCCCAGTCGCTCGCCAGACTTGAACCCAACAGAGCATGCATGGGACATGCTTGGCGGGTAGATTGCATGTTGTCAAATGGCTCCAAGGTCCATTCCTGAGCTCACGGAAGCACTGGTCCAAGAATGGAAAGCCATACCCCAGTCACTTCTTGATAACCTCATTCTCAGCATGCATTTGCATTGTGATGCATGTCTTGCAAGTACAGGGTGATCACACACACTATTTCTGGACTAACACATGGGTACATTTTCTGATTTCACACAATTCTCAATTGTCGTCCATGTTGCCCACTCTGTACCTTTTCTCACACTGTTTGCAGTTTGATACCATTTGCAATGCAACCTACAATCCATATATGGGAAATTCTCCTTGTTTTTCCTGTCATAAATATCTTACACCACATTATCCTTAAGTTTTGCACATCAGTGTATATGAATTTTGAGTGTATTATTCATCATTTGAGATATGCAAATTTAGAATAGGACAATAAACGTAGACTGAATATTACAATATAGTTCTAGCTTTATAAATTATTTTATCAAAATGCAATTTTTTCATAATGAGAAAATTATTCCTGTGATTTAGAACTGGTTTCATTGATGCTGCTTTATAACCAATAATATAAGGTTTACTTTATTGGAAATAAGTAATGGAAAAATGATATAAGTAACAACTAACTGCAAAATGAAAGTTATTATTAACATGCCCAATCTAATATTTATCAAGACACTGTAAATGGGTAATGAGTTATGGCATTGCTTAAAGTTTGGCTTCTATTAAGTTTTTATTTAAAATAACAATTGGTCTTGAAAATAAATGATTTTAAAAGTAAGTAAATTTTTTTAAAATCATATATATTCAATATAAATCTATATTTTAAGGATTAACTTGAAGATGGCACCAGCTGTAGCTGCCAAGATTGTAGCATTGCAACCAGCTGTTGAAACAGCAGTGATGAATGTAGCTAGTGATCCAGAAATTTTAGCAGACATTCCTGCAGAAATAGGCCAACTAATAGATATTGTGAAGAAATTATGTAATTTGAATGCTGCACAATTTGGAAAATGTAACTCAGATTCTACTGATGATAAAATGTAAGTTGTAATTTTAAAATTCAAATGATTGATTTTGATTAATTAAAATTGAGCTTTTTTGTAAAAATATAAATTGCTTAGTGTAATTACTGTTATTATAAAACAAACATTTTGTGTTTTTATATTTATAAATTTGTAGTTTGAAACATCACTTTTGTAACTTGAATATTTAATACTATTAACAATTTAAATTCAAAATCCCCAAAAATATTTCAAATTAATTCCAAATAAAACAAATCAGAGATTTTTTATACAGAATTAAACAAAGAATAAAGATAATTTGTTTTTTAAAATATTAAATTTAAGATATTAAAAAATTATTATTGTGTTTTTTTAGGCCCATGCCCTCAGGACCTCCAAGAAAACAACCTCGATTGAGTTCCACAAGAGGTGGAGGCAGTTTCAATACTGGAAGAGGAAGAGGAGGAGGAGGAGGCTATGGAGGAGGTTTTCGCAATAATTTTGGAGGAAATCAAAATTTTTCTTCTGGTGGAGGAAACAAATTTCAAGGTGGTGGTGGTGGTGGTGGATACAACAAAAGATTTGGAAGTGGAAATAACTCTAGAGGATTTAATAGAAGTAGTGGTTATCGAGGGTGGAGTAGTATGGGTGGTGGTGGAAATTACCGTTCAAATTTTGGTGGCAATGATAGAGGATTCAGTGGAGGTGGAAATGACAGAGGATTTGGTGGTGGAAATGGAGGAGGTTTTGGCGGTGGAAATGGAGGCGGTTTTGGTGGAGGTGGAAATGACCGAGGATTTGGAGGTGGAAATGACAGAGGATTTAGTGGTGGCAACAGTGATAGGGGATTTGGAGGTGGCTATGGATCTAGAGGCGGAGGTGGAGGAAGTGGATATGGAAGTGGAGGGTACGGAGGTGGCGGTGGGGGAGGAGGAGGAGGAGGATATGGAGGTTATGGATCTGATGGAGACAGAGGTTTTCAGGGTGGTTTTAACAGAGGTGCTGGTGGAGGAAGGGGTGGTGGTTTTTCTAATAGAGGTGGATTTGGAGGAGGTAATTATCAAAGTAGTTACAGTGGAGGTGGAAATTTTGGAAAGGGTGGGGACTTTTAAGAGAATTATTGATATTCTGAGCATTTATGTACATTGTAGTATTTTCACATGTGTTAAGTCTTGTGAGATTCATTCATTTCGTAGTATTTTGTAAAATAATTCATTTTAAACTAAATAAAATTGTAAAACTAATTATTTTTATATTATTTAAACTTACTTTATAAAAATTTCATCTCCAATATTTTCTTAGACAAAGCAAAAACAGAAATTCCCTTTCTATAGTCAAGACTTTTCAAACTGTATCAGATAAATAAATGAAATTTTCTGTGATTATTATTGCATTATCATTGATAATTTGGTATTATTAGATCAAATGATATCAAAGGGAGAATGAAATCTGGAGTAAGACAAAACTTAACCTACTTGTATATAGAAATAACAATTAAATTAGAAAATAATTTATTTATATATGATTAATTGATGTATTTAGCATAAATTTAAAAATGAGCTTGTCTCTGGAGTAAATCCTATTTTACCTTCATATCAACGTTTTTAAGTTATTGTACAGTACAGTTTGTAATATATACCATATTTAATACTACCTGAATGAAATTTAATATGTATTAAAAGGAAGAAATCGAAGAATGAACAAAAACACAGCCAGCTAAAAATGCTTTCCATTCATCTAAATGACATTATTTTGATTCACATTTAAATCTAATGCATATTTTACACATCATTAAAGGTGGAAACATTGGAAGAAGAAAAGATTCAAACAACAAAATAATAATTTACAGTTTTCTTCTACAAACTTCTCAATAAATTGAGTGCTTCTAGTTGTTTTGTTTTTGTTTTTTTTTTTTTACAGTTAATATTCTACAGTAAATGAACAGTGATATATTGAATATTAAAATTCTGTTGTCATTTATTAATTGAATCAGAAAANTAAAATTATTTTATCCGTGTACGTACTTTTATTTTTAACTTCACTAGCTGTAAAATTATATGCAGGGTTCCTATGCACCTGGAAAGTCAGGAAAAATTGGGTATTTTCATTGGTGTTCAGAAAAAGTCAGGGAATTTTCCTCCTTGGTTTCTTTTTGCTGACAATATACTTGACTAAGTGTAACTGTCTACAGGCAGCAAGAAGTAATGTGGTGCAACACAAACTTATGAAAAGGGGTGCTGAATATTTTCAAGACAAAATTCCCCAAAAATTTACAAAATACAAAAAATGATAAATAATTTTAATTTAAATGGTATTATTTATCATTTTTCAAGTTTATTAATATTTTATAAAGTTCAGGAAACTTATTATGGGATAAATTTAATAAATAATGGCTTTTTTCAAAATCATGTAGATTTGTGGTTGTGGATTAATAATAGAATAAACTACTTAATTTAATAAAACATTTTATTTTTAGTTTTAATAATTTGGCAATTATAAAAAATATGTAATTGTTAATTAGAAAAATAAATAATTAAAAAGTTGGAGAAGCATTAGCATAAGTGCATAGTAAATTAAATGCTGTTTTGTTTTGTCAGTACGTCATAATGTAATGGATGCGAGGGTCAGGGAAATTCGTAGAAATTAAAACAAAAATTTAAGTAGGAATTCTGTATACGTATAATAATTCTGTGTAAATAATAATGCTAAAAGTACTTTTTGATTAGATGGTTAGTGAATGAATGCAAAAGTTCTCTTACTATTAACATCATTTCCAATGTAATTTGATTTTTAACTTGAGTTGTAAACATTAAAAATCAATGTTATTGTAAAACTTGGTATATTATTTTAAAATTTTTTAATATATTTTTATATAAATTTAAATTTACTTTGACATTAAATTTTAATTAAACCTATATATTTTATATTCTAGATTCGTACCAGAGCGGTTTCTTGTAAACAAATGACTATGGTGACACCTCTTCATCTTCTATTGTTTGGTTGTAATAGGATAGAATTGGTAAATGGAGTTGTTCAATTAGATAGATGGTATGAAATATTCTTATTCATTTTTTAATCTAATGTTAAAGATGATAAATTAATATGAATTAACATAAGTTTTAGATACTTAAAATGAGAAAATGTAAATAAATTCTGTCTGTCTTCTGATAGTAAAATATAATCACATTAAAAAATAAAAACATAAAAAATATTGATAAATATATTTTATTATATTTTCATTATTACAATCTACTTAAATAATGGTGTAATTAATAGAAACAGTTGTTCTGCAACTGTCAAAACTTAATAACCATATACACTGTATTCCATGTGGCTCTGATAGGTCTGTCATAATCAAAAAATTATCTTTTATTTTCCAAAATACTGAAGGAATAAGAGTAAGTCCTGTCTAATATCTATTAAAATCTAATCAGTTCAGAAAAATTATAAAAACTGAATAAATAAATTTTTACAAAAATTAAACAAAAATTATAAATCATATTTTCTGTATTGCATTGAAAATAGATCACCAGTTTTGACTGTCTTGCAACCAGAAGCAGAACAGTTAATCTGCTATTCTAATGAACTGGTTTGGTTTTTTGGTCAACTGGGTGGCTGACCAGTTAAGGTGGCAGCTTACTGCTGTTGGGGGTCCTAGGATTGGATCTGGATGGGTTGAAAAAATTCCAGGAATTTTTTTGGGGTGGTCTGTCTGGGTATATTGGATTCTGTCCCTTGCCACCTGGCTACCCAATTGTGGACCAGACCATCCATAATGGGCTTGCTAAAAAAAAAAGATATGGTTTAGTACAGTTCATTTAAATATCAATTTAGTTTAATTACACAAACAGTGAAGCAAGTATATTTGATGAAAACTTGGTCTCATTATTCACTGTTTTTGTGTGGCACAAGTGAGTAAAGAATGTTGGTTGAGTAATGTGAAGATCATAGATTCATGTTGCAGACATGAAATTTTTTTAATTAAGACAAAATTTCACTCATTAATATATCAGTTCATTTTTAAAAAACAAGTAAAACTACAGACTATATTTTCATCCTAATGACAAACATAGTTAATTCATTCTATTATTTGGTTTGATCTCTGGCTACAAGAGATCATCTGTTCCGTTGAGATGTGTATATTTTCAGTTACGTGTATTACATCATTGATATAGAAGCGCGTGGTATCTCTCCACCACTTCGGTTTTGGTTTTCATTAGTTTAATCTTATTTTAACTTTAAAAATACTATATTTTTTAATATCTTAAGTACAATAAAAAATTATTAATTAATAATAAAACAATTTTACTATTTTTTCTCATTATATGATTTCATTACATTCCGCAATGAAAATTGCAGAATCAAAAAAGGAAGTAAAAACTGATTTTTGCATTAATGCATTTATTGTTTTTTGAATATTTTGCGTGCGAAAATTACTTGGATATTATTTTTCTAAAAATATCGTGGAAATAAGGTAGGTTGATACAGAAACTATTTATTGCACATGTACTGTATATGACCTTCAAAAAACTAAAATAAATTTTATCAAACGATGAGATCAGCTGATTAATTGTATCATGTACAATATTTTATAGCCCTAAAGAAAATACTGTAGGTCTACAGTAAAATAAATTTCATTTTTCCCCACAGTTAAACTTCACTGCTAATTGCCATTGTGATAAACCATTTTCACTTTCTCTGATAACTTTAACAGTATCTTCTAATGACAGCACTTTGCATTTCTTTCGTTTTTTGGACAATTTCAAACAAACTGAAATGAATTTCCTTTGTTGCTAGACTAATTCATTAACACCTGCACCTAATTTCAAGGGTGGGAAAAGTGCCCGGGGTGGGTTTGAACAAGAGTTTAGACCAGATATATTTGCAAAAGGGGTTGCTTATTACAGTTGTTTTATATTGTTTCTGATCAAAAATCAATGCCAGCGGTTGCGATACACAGATGGTTGTTTAATACAGGTAACTTATACAAAGACTTTATGTATAAACTATTCCGTGCTGGAAATTTTTGCCTGTTTTGACAGATGCTTGTTGAATGCAGGTGGTTGCCTAAGCAGTTTTTACTGTATATCTTGATATATAAATTTCTATTACCGAGGGTTATTGTGAACCGAGGGGGTTAGAGCGGAGAGCTTCTCCCCACTTATCGGCTTCATTGTCAGGGATGGCGTGGTAATTGAGTGGGAGGGGTAGTGAAGTCGTGATGAGGTGTCGATCGTACTCAAAGATGAGACATTAGATTTAAGAATAACATATTTAATATAAAACAAACAATATAAGTACATGTGAGTACATCTTATATTTCAACAAAAGAAAGTAATGATAATGTAAATTGTAAAGTAATGATGATGATAATATATCCACGTCACGACAATATCGGATGACCGATGTCCATCTTTCCTGTCGTGGGACCACCGAAGGTCCTTGACCCAATATTTTCTAAGTCCTATCAAAAAAAAAAAAAAAAAAAAAAAAAAAAAAAAAAAAAAAAAAAAAAAAAAAAAAAAAAAAAAAAAAAAAAAAAAAAAAAAAAAAAAAAAAAAAAAAAAAAAAAAAAAAAAAAAAAAAAAAAAAAAAAAAAAAAAAAAAAAAAAAAAAAAAAAAAAAAAAAAAAAAAAAAAAAAAAAAAAAAAAAAAAAAAAAAAAAAAAAAAAAAAAAAAAAAAAAAAAAAAAAAAAAAAAAAAAAAAAAAAAAAAAAAAAAAAAAAAAAAAAAAAAAAAAAAAAAAAAAAAAAAAAAAAAAAAAAAAAAAAAAAAAAAAAAAAAAAAAAAAAAAAAAAAAAAAAAAAAAAAAAAAAAAAAAAAAAAAAAAAAAAAAAAAAAAAAAAAAAAAAAAAAAAAAAAAAAAAAAAAAAAAAAAAAAAAAAAAAAAAAAAAAAAAAAAAAAAAAAAAAAAAAAAAAAAAAAAAAAAAAAAAAAAAAAAAAAAAAAAAAAAAAAAAAAAAAAAAAAAAAAAAAAAAAAAAAAAAAAAAAAAAAAAAAAAAAAAAAAAAAAAAAAAAAAAAAAAAAAAAAAAAAAAAAAAAAAAAAAAAAAAAAAAAAAAAAAAAAAAAAAAAAAAAAAAAAAAAAAAAAAAAAAAAAAAAAAAAAAAAAAAAAAAAAAAAAAAAAAAAAAAAAAAAAAAAAAAAAAAAAAAAAAAAAAAAAAAAAAAAAAAAAAAAAAAAAAAAAAAAAAAAAAAAAAAAAAAAAAAAAAAAAAAAAAAAAAAAAAAAAAAAAAAAAAAAAAAAAAAAAAAAAAAAAAAAAAAAAAAAAAAAAAAAAAAAAAAAAAAAAAAAAAAAAAAAAAAAAAAAAAAAAAAAAAAAAAAAAAAAAAAAAAAAAAAAAAAAAAAAAAAAAAAAAAAAAAAAAAAAAAAAAAAAAAAAAAAAAAAAAAAAAAAAAAAAAAAAAAAAAAAAAAAAAAAAAAAAAAAAAAAAAAAAAAAAAAAAAAAAAAAAAAAAAAAAAAAAAAAAAAAAAAAAAAAAAAAAAAAAAAAAAAAAAAAAAAAAAAAAAAAAAAAAAAAAAAAAAAAAAAAAAAAAAAAAAAAAAAAAAAAAAAAAAAAAAAAAAAAAAAAAAAAAAAAAAAAAAAAAAAAAAAAAAAAAAAAAAAAAAAAAAAAAAAAAAAAAAAAAAAAAAAAAAAAAAAAAAAAAAAAAAAAAAAAAAAAAAAAAAAAAAAAAAAAAAAAAAAAAAAAAAAAAAAAAAAAAAAAAAAAAAAAAAAAAAAAAAAAAAAAAAAAAAAAAAAAAAAAAAAAAAAAAAAAAAAAAAAAAAAAAAAAAAAAAAAAAAAAAAAAAAAAAAAAAAAAAAAAAAAAAAAAAAAAAAAAAAAAAAAAAAAAAAAAAAAAAAAAAAAAAAAAAAAAAAAAAAAAAAAAAAAAAAAAAAAAAAAAAAAAAAAAAAAAAAAAAAAAAAAAAAAAAAAAAAAAAAAAAAAAAAAAAAAAAAAAAAAAAAAAAAAAAAAAAAAAAAAAAAAAAAAAAAAAAAAAAAAAAAAAAAAAAAAAAAAAAAAAAAAAAAAAAAAAAAAAAAAAAAAAAAAAAAAAAAAAAAAAAAAAAAAAAAAAAAAAAAAAAAAAAAAAAAAAAAAAAAAAAAAAAAAAAAAAAAAAAAAAAAAAAAAAAAAAAAAAAAAAAAAAAAAAAAAAAAAAAAAAAAAAAAAAAAAAAAAAAAAAAAAAAAAAAAAAAAAAAAAAAAAAAAAAAAAAAAAAAAAAAAAAAAAAAAAAAAAAAAAAAAAAAAAAAAAAAAAAAAAAAAAAAAAAAAAAAAAAAAAAAAAAAAAAAAAAAAAAAAAAAAAAAAAAAAAAAAAAAAAAAAAAAAAAAAAAAAAAAAAAAAAAAAAAAAAAAAAAAAAAAAAAAAAAAAAAAAAAAAAAAAAAAAAAAAAAAAAAAAAAAAAAAAAAAAAAAAAAAAAAAAAAAAAAAAAAAAAAAAAAAAAAAAAAAAAAAAAAAAAAAAAAAAAAAAAAAAAAAAAAAAAAAAAAAAAAAAAAAAAAAAAAAAAAAAAAAAAAAAAAAAAAAAAAAAAAAAAAAAAAAAAAAAAAAAAAAAAAAAAAAAAAAAAAAAAAAAAAAAAAAAAAAAAAAAAAAAAAAAAAAAAAAAAAAAAAAAAAAAAAAAAAAAAAAAAAAAAAAAAAAAAAAAAAAAAAAAAAAAAAAAAAAAAAAAAAAAAAAAAAAAAAAAAAAAAAAAAAAAAAAAAAAAAAAAAAAAAAAAAAAAAAAAAAAAAAAAAAAAAAAAAAAAAAAAAAAAAAAAAAAAAAAAAAAAAAAAAAAAAAAAAAAAAAAAAAAAAAAAAAAAAAAAAAAAAAAAAAAAAAAAAAAAAAAAAAAAAAAAAAAAAAAAAAAAAAAAAAAAAAAAAAAAAAAAAAAAAAAAAAAAAAAAAAAAAAAAAAAAAAAAAAAAAAAAAAAAAAAAAAAAAAAAAAAAAAAAAAAAAAAAAAAAAAAAAAAAAAAAAAAAAAAAAAAAAAAAAAAAAAAAAAAAAAAAAAAAAAAAAAAAAAAAAAAAAAAAAAAAAAAAAAAAAAAAAAAAAAAAAAAAAAAAAAAAAAAAAAAA